CGGGTTCAATTCCTATTGATTAATGGTTACTTAAAAATATAATATACCCTTGGGTAAAGTATATTCTTTCCTCTAAATTTAAAATCATATATATTGGGCATCCATATGTACGTCCTTCCTCTTGTGTGGAGTATCCATGAACGAAAGTATCCACCGTAGGATTGCGGTACGGGTGGATGACTAGTTACCTCACATGAAATAGTTAGTCTACACAATAGAAAGATTGATAGATTCAATGCAATAATGGAGGTGTTGGTTCTTCTTGGCTCAGTAGGGGTTGTTAGTCAATAGTTAATACAGACATTAATATCTCTGAAGGGGGGGTGAGTGTAGCGCATGTGATCATGGGATGAAATTTGGATATACTGTCATTATGGATTCTTCGAACTTTAAGGGATAAATGGGGATAAAATAGCCACTAAGGGCTCTTTCATTAAGCAATTACCCCTTTTCCAATTGGCTTAAGAGGAGAGAGATAGGGTGCACTATAATTGCGATAGGGCATCTAACCAAAAAGGAGTTGCACTTCATTAAGATTGCTGCTTGCATAATCGGAGCTGATTGTGTTCCATGCCGCCACGACACACCATGGCATGGAATTGAAGAGCATGCATCTGGCCCCACACAGCATGGGCGGAGATGATTGACATCCACGACACTACGTCTCAATCAAGCATGGAATTAAACACTTTCTAGCATCACCTACTCAATCACTCATGAGGTAGGCCACTAGTAGTGAGTTCCATGCAATTGTGTCACAAGACTCCATGGAATCAAACACAATCTTTGCATCCATGGTCAATCTCTATTGTGCATAAGCTTTGATCATTGTGCTCCAGAAGACAACATTTCTCTGCAGCATCACGGCAAAGAGAGCTTGTGCCTTGCAGATATGGCCGCAAGCCACGATCATCAAGTTCCATGAAACTATGTCTTTGAAAGGGATTCACTAAAATATCACAATTGCATCATTGATCCTCCCAGACTCTATGATTGTGCCTAGGAGGCTGTTCCATGAGCAATAGTCCCACTTGGGCATCTCAAAGAAAATAATGGCCACTTTTTCAATTTGCCCATTCTCGGCATTTGCCATAATCATAGAGCTACAATTCGTAATGGCAAAGAATCAAATAGATCCTTCACATTTTCTAAATCATTTCTTGATGCCAAAATTGATATCATCATTGTATATGACGAAACATCTTGCTCTAGCATCTAATTGAAGAGGGCATGGCTTCCTCCAAATGCCAGTTTTGGGCATAGCATGAAAGCATTACATGATGTCTTTGTGCACTAGTGCAAGAAACAAATTTTTCATTTCATCAACCATTCCATAATCCACATATGCAATGATCATCATTGTCCATGACACACGATTGTAGAAAGGCATCCCATCAAACAATCACTATGCCTCCTCTAGATCCCTTGCTACAGCAATTGCTACAATAACAACATTCCAATTGACAAGATTCTTCATTAGATTTTTCTCAAATACTTGTTTGGCCTTGATAACTGTGAATAATGACATTAATGTCTGCTTTTAGCTAATTAGGAGGTGGCCAATTGCTTGAGGCAAGAAAAGAAAGCACTATGACACATGTAACATACAAAGTATTGATTGGCATTAACATTCAACTTTTTGCAATGGAGATCTTATAATTCCTTTCAAGGAATATGATAACTTTTTATGAAAAAACATATGCTTATAGTTACTTTTTCAATTCTTCTTTCAAAGTTTAATATAATATTGTTGTTTTAATACTATTTCAATTTAATTTTCAATGTAATAATGATAATCAAAATAGTGTTTGCTAATTGGGCAGCATAAGTACTAATCTAAGATGGTGCTACCAAGCAATCACAGTTCTAATAATTCTGGTTAACAACCTAAAAGTTTTCAAACAACATCCCGCGCTTCCCGCTCGTTGTCCCGTTTCAACTCCTTTTACCGACAGCCACTCGGACACCACCACCTGGCGGCACAGTTAACCTTGTCTGAGCTCACGCCGGCAAAATGTGCCACGCGTCTTGCGTTTACTGGATGGACGTCTTCATTGCGCTGTGGACGCAAGGTCCCACGCAGTTGTCCATTCATTCAAACGCTCTTTGATCCCGCTCTATTTCTCCTCGTCACGCTCTTTGGGTTATTCCTCTCACGCTTCGCCCTATTCCATCCATTCTATTCTCCATCGCTTTTCTCCAAGGCTTTGTTCTTCGTTCTGGCCAAGGCGCCAGCAATAATATCGAGCTGTTTGCCCCATTCCTGTGAGTTTTCCAGATGCGAGCTCCATTCTAGCAGCGGCCGTGGACCAAATAGCTCGAGAGGCGCTTCTAGCTGCCGAAATATCCACAATGGGCGCGTCTAGCAGATGGTTCAAGAGCTTTATCGGCGTGAAGAAATCCAGCAACAACAGCAGCTCCAGATCCCTGGCGGAGGATCAGGTATGCGCAATCTCTGTAAAGATCTAAATATCTGACATTCCTTCCATCCAGAAGAAAGCGGACAAGCCGTCCAAGAGATGGGGTTTGTGGAAGCAAGGCGAGCACGATCGCAAGGGCGGCGATACGGCAGCGGCATTGCACGATCAAGTTATCAGCCAGGTGATTCGAGAGACGCGCTCATCCTATCATCAGCATCGAAATCCCATCCAGGACGATGTGGATGTTGAATCGCTTGGCCATCGCTCCCAGCAGCAGCAGCAAGCCCTGGCGGCGGCGGCGGTCGCCGCAGAGGCTGCTGCCGCTGCCGCTAACGCCGCCGCGGCGATGGCACGTCTCGGGGTAAGTACCAACAATAAATCCCACATCGCTTTCAGGACTGTTAGAGAGGAATGGGCCGCTATCCGGATTCAATCAGCCTTTCGCAGCTTTCTGGTAAGCATTTCTCGCAGATAGATCGTATGCGACAGCTTGGAGCTCTGTCACTGATGTAAGCGTTCGTTTTATCTGGTTGGCAGTCGAGAAGAGCTTTACGTGCTCTCAAAGGCCTTGTCAGGCTCCAAGCTTTAGTCCGCGGCCACCTGGTTCGAAAGCAGGCGGCTGTGACACTGCGTTGCATGCAAGCGCTCGTCCGTGTCCAGGCCCGAGTCCGAGCTCGCCAGGTCCGGATGTCTGAGGAGGGCCAGCAAGTGAGATGGCGGATCGAGCAGCGTCGGATGCTTGAAGCTCAGCGTCACCAGGCCGAGGTACATTTGCCAGTTTATCCTTTTCTTATTTCTCACTTACAAATTCCTCTTTCTCTTGCAGCTCGGGTGGTGTGCTTGCCATGGTACCAAAGAGGAGATCGAAGCGAAGCTTTTTCAAAAGCAAGAAGCAGCCGTCAAGCGAGAACGAGCACTGGCCTATGCATTCTCTCACCAGGTACGTGAAGAAAACTGTGTTCCGTCGGGAATCAATTGTCGGGTTTCTGCAGTGGAGGCCCAACTCGAAGCCAAGCTCTGGAATGTACATCGGCAGTGAACCCGAAAAGAACCATTGGGGATGGAGCTGGCTGGAGCGCTGGATGGCAGCCAAGCCGTGGGAGAATCGAATACTGGCTAACCAGGAGAAGCAGCAGAGCAGTGGCAAAGAAAACAACGTCCACGCTGCTCGCTGTGCGGATGGATTCCACAAGCCCAGCGGGACCACTGCCAGAACCAACAATGCGACGTCAAGAAACTCAGGACCAGTGCACAGAGCGTACCCGTCGCAGGACAGCTTCAAGTTTTCGTCCATATACTCGGACAGGCACTCGGAGGGTGGCAGTCCCCCGCCTTCGTCGAGAGGTACCCCGCGATCGATTTTACTGGCGCCTCGCGTGCTCTCTTCCAGGGCCCAGCACACAAATTCCAACTCCAACATTCGCCCGGGTGCTACCCCGGAAGATCCAAAGTGCAGGCCCAGCTACATGAACCAGACTCAATCGGCTAAAGCAAAGACGAGGTCCTCTAGCACTCCCAAGCAGAGGCCCGTAACTTACGATCAAGCACTGGACGAGAAGAGGAAGAGGTTCTCACTCCCAACACCGAGGCACGGGCTCTCAAAGCTGAGCCCCGAGGCTAGCAGGCAGGAGATCGCTAACCGGCGGAAGTTTGTGATGCCGCCGGCGATTGCCAAGCCGGAAGTTAAACCGGAGCATCACGGCTACGTTTCTCACGAACAGCTGCGAAAGGCTTTCAGATAAACAAGGAGCGGAGATTCGACTTGCAACGCACAGCTCGTGCAAGAACAGTGTGAAGGTACTCCTAAAGTTCTATAGCTAACTTATGAGATGGATGAAAGGAAAGCACAAAAATGAGAAAAAGAGATGAGATCGAAGAACTGGCCTCTAGAATCGGAGTTTTACTTGAGCAGTCCGGCGTCCTTGAGCATTGGAACTAGCTGCGCTGTTGTGTTTTTTAGTAGTATCTGGAATCAAAGAGGCAAGTTTTCTAGCTCACAGTTTCGAGTGATTTTTACGTACCATCGCAGCCACCGACGTGTTTTCCACCCACGAAAACGCTGGGAACGCTTCTTTGTCCAGTCCATTCGGCCAGTGCTGCCTGTAAATCGGCTCCATCGGCTGGAGAGAAGGAAAAGAGCCATCAATCGTCGAAGGATTTGCGAGGACAAAAAGAAGTGAAACCATGCAAAGGATTTGGAATTTCGATGGAACCATTGGAATGGATTGGCAGATTGAGAGAGACGAAGAACAAGGAAATGCGCAAGGAAAAAACGAATCTTTACCCTCTGAGTCGAGCTCCACGACTTTAGGTTGCGCTCCAATGCTGGAAAAGAGCTCCTTTACTTTGACACAGAAGGGGCAATACGTCTTGCTGCGGCAATATAGAGCAAGCTAATCAACCAAGAAGCGAGAAGAAAACCTTGGCAAGATCATCGTCATGAAAAATTCGATGACCGATCGATCGATCGACGTACCTGAAGACAACGAGAGGATTGTGCGCCACAATGTCCTTCGCCTTGCTTAGCGCCATCGCCGTAAGCTCAAATAGAAGAAAATATTTTCTAGGTCAGAGTTAGGGCTCGTCTTTGCATATGGCTACGAGCGTGAGATGGGCCGCTGGCGCTTGGCGAGGCGCTCATCGATTCGGAGGTGTCTCCGCGAATTTCCTCTCGAAGGTATTGAATCCTTGCGTTGTGATCTCTTCTTGTCTCTCGCGATCTCGTAATCCCTCTTTTCCTTCAGTCTTTCTTACCATTTGCTGCTAGTGTTTGAAATGTCGAGATCTGACCAGGCAGCCGTAGTACCAGCTCCATCTAGCTTGAAAATCTCTGCTATCGAGCAGCGTGGATTTTTTCGGAGCTCGCGTGTGATGGCTAGTACATTGCATGCTGGAAGTTCTTTTAGCGACAAGATGAGCATCGAGAAATCTAAAAGCGCGATCGTGTCTGTGGAATGGCTTCACCAGAATCTAAATCTACCTCATGTCAAGGTTTGGTACTCAATGAAATTTTGTTCTTTTTATGCTAACTTTGGTTTTTTTCACGCAGGTCTTGGACGCATCCTGGTACATGCCGGCTGAGCAACGCAATCCTCTGGAAGAGTTCAAGGTGCGCATTTCATGAGAGCACAGATTCTCTGCACTAATGCTGGAATGCAGAAGTGTCGTATTCCGGGGGCTTTATTCTTTGATATCGATGGAATTGTGGACGATAAAGTGGATGTGAGTGCCTTTGCATTGATTTTTCGGCTCGTCAAGTTGTCTCGAAATGCCGCCTTGCAGCTTCCTCATATGCTTCCTGTGGAGACAGCCTTTGCTGCTGCTTTGTCAGCTTTGGATCTCCAAAACACGGATACAATAGTTGCATATGATGGAAAAGGCATCTTCAGTTCGGCACGCGTATGGTGGTATGATGCCTTATCACCTTTCCACTTTCGGTTTCTTCGCATTGAGCTTTGTTATTCGTGATTGTCAAGGATGTTCAGAGTTTTCGGTCACAAGAACGTCTATGTGCTGGACGGAGGCTTACCAAAATGGCTTGCCTCTTCTTATCCCGTAGACTCGTCCGTCCCGGCGGGGGCCTTGTCCAAGATTGAGGCATCTGTTGCAGCAGTTCGAAAACCACAGGTAACCACAGGTTGTTTTTCTCATCAAACGCTTATGCTTTGTTGTCAAGGCTGGAGTTGGAGGTTTCAAAACGTCATTCCAGCAGAGTCTGGTGTGGTCCCTAGAACAGGTATCTATCGGCGACTATTAAAATATTTGACTTTTAATGTTCAACAATAGGTGAAGAAAAATGTCGAAGAGAGGACATTTCAGCATATTGATGCTCGCAGTAAACCAAGGTGAAGTCTGACTCGGGTTCCGTTTTATATCTTTTGTTTAGATTTTATGGTGCTGCAAGTGAGCCAAGAAAGGGTATCCGAGCAGGTCATGTGCCTGGAAGTAAATGTATACCTTTCACAGAGGTACCGATTTGTTTTACATTGTATTTTGTTTCTCTCTTAATCGATAGGTGTGACTGCAGGTCTTGAATCAGGAAGGAATGCTTTTACCTATTAATGCTCTTCAAAAGACATTTGAAGATGCGGGTATTGTAATCTTTGAAAGTTCACCTCAATAATTACGTTTCGGTGTAGGATTGAACCTGGAAGTTCCTGTAGTGGCATCTTGTGGAACTGGCGTTACTGCTTGCATCCTTGCTTTGGTAAGATCTTTTACTTTTTCGGTTCTCCAGAATCCTCCAATTCTAAATAATGTGATGTAGGCCCTCTATCAACTTGGCGTTGCCAATGTACCTGTTTATGATGGCTCTTGGACGGAATGGGGTGGTCTTCCAGACAGCGAAGTGGCGGTGGCAACATCTTCTGCTTAGTAAGATCACTTTCGCTTTCAGGGAACAGTTCTGTAGAACATTTGCGGAGTGTGGAGCCTCCACAAACTAGAACTTACTGGATCTGGAAACGGTTTTGGAAATTGTTTCCTCTTGAAATGGTTGAGTTCATGGCCGATTTCACCGGGCAAATCTTTAATTTTCAGTTCACTTTCGGAAAAAGGTTCCAGCGATTTGTCAAGGTAATGCTTAGGTACTTTAGTGTCCTCACTTGCGCCGACATTTGTTTCGATTGCAGGAAAGTGCAAGTCCCCTTTCAGTTTCAAAGATCATGTCACATCTTGTAGAGAAGTATCTCTCTGGAAAAATCTGCTCATCACCGACTTAGCCGCGTCAATTTGAAATGGTTTAGTGGCTGTTCGGCTAACAAGCTGTACCTATCCAACCACCGGACAGGTAAGCCGGTTTCTTTTGACGATATCAGGCGAGTTAAATCGTTTTTGGCAGGAGCGAATGACGGGCTCTTTCTTCCATCTCGAGGTGGAGCATCGAATAATTGAGTATCCACTATGTTATTAAAATGATTTTTTCGCGAAGTGGACGACGAAGATAGCTTGGAAGCTTCTCTCTTTGGAGGCATTGTCGTGCAACAAAAAACGCCAGTGGTTTGGCAGTCTCAAAAGCTACAGCGGCACCTAGAGGTAAACCGGAATATTTATAGAGGCTCATTTGTGAACAGCGGGCATTCTTTGGATTCCGTTTCGTCTCTTCTGACCGCGGGCACTTAAAAACGTGAACAAGATGTTCTGGATAGGCTGGCTATGTGTTGCTGCTGCCGGTGCTCTCCTAGCAAGTCTTGGGAATGTCTACAGGCATTGGCAGAAGCTACCGCCGGGGCCGTGGGGATGGCCGATTGTGGGGTGCTTGTTCTGCGTCTCCAGGCGCAATCTTCACCGCAGCTTCGCAGAGCTTGCCACCAAGTATGGACCGATTGTTTATCTCAACATGGGAAGCAGGGCGACGGTAGTGATCAGCAGTCCGGAGGTGGCCAGGGCGGTGTTCCGGGAACACGATGTGCAGTTCGCCAGTCGGCCTCGCTACTCGACACCATTCAAGCACATCAGCCAGAATTTCAAAGACTTGGTGTTCGCGCCTTATGGCGGCAGATGGAAGAACCTGAGAAAGATATGCAGCACGGAGCTTTTCACAGCTTCCAAGGTGAACATGTTCGGGGGGATAAGAAAGGCGGAGCTGCATGACTTTTGCAACAACATTGCAATGCGGGCTGCCGCCGGAGAGGAAGTGAACCTCAGCGTCTGCTTCCAGGAGCTGCTTACAAATCTCATGAGCAGCGTCCTCTTCGGGAAAAAGTTCTACACCAGCGACCTGCCTCCTGTGGCAGAGGCAGCAGCGTACCGTGCAACTTGGGGCATGCTCACACAGGAGAGCGGCAAGATCTACCTCGGGGACTACATCCCAGCACTGCACTGGCTGGATCGGCTGCGAGGCAAGGACCAGAGGATAAGAAAAACAATCATCCCCGCGTTGCAAGGCCTTCTGAATTCCGTCATCGAGGAGCGCCGCAAGCAGCTCAGGCGCGACAAGCCGAGAGACTTCGTGGACGTAATGGTGGCACTCAACGATCAAAAGAGCCTTTCCAACGATGAGATTGTGGCAATTATCCAGGTAGACAAAAGCGCTCCAGAAAGGAAAGTTTAGTTCTAAAGATTGGCTTTCCAGGACATGCTCCTTGCCGGCACCGGCACGACGAGATCCACGCTCGAGTGGGGCTTCTCGGAGCTGGTCCGCCACCCGGAAGTCCAGCGGCGAGCACAGGAAGAGCTCGACCGGGTCGTGGGCCGTGAGCGATACGTTCAGGAGTCGGACCTCTCGGGCCTGCCGTACATCCAGGCGCTCGTCAAGGAGATAATGCGGCTCCACCCGGCCGCGCCTCTGGGCCTCCCACACTTCAACTCATGCCCGGTTTCGCTGGCCGGCTACACCATCCCGGCCAACTCGACGCTCCACGTAAACATCTGGGCGATCTGCCGGGACCCGAGCTCGTGGGAGAGAGCGCACGAGTTCCGGCCGGAGCGGTTCCTCGGCAGCTGCCACAACTTGCTAGGCCAGCACTTTGAGCTCATCCCGTTCTCGTCCGGGCGGAGGAGGTGCGCGGGGATCAACCTGGCGCTGCTTCATGTCAGCCTCACGCTGGCCTATCTCTTGCACAGATTCGAGTGGAGGCCGCCGCCGGGGGTGGATGTGTCCGAGATCGACATGTCCGAGACGACGGGTCTGGCTTGCTTCCGGACTGTGCCGCTGCGCGTCAGTGTGAGGCCGCGGCTGGAGCTTTCGTGAGGTGTGGCCGTGTGGAGTAGACTCTACAGGAGCGTTTTGTCACCATGACAAGGTGAAGAAAATCTTATTCTTTGTGTCGTGGTTGATCGCCAGCTCGAGAACAAGAAGACTGGAAAACGATTGTATCTTCCAGCACTGACTCCATAACACAACACCGACAAATTCACGATCAAACAACACTTGTGCAAGCCAGAAATTCGTGTGTTATGGGACGTGTAATAAGTGTCTACGTCACAGCGTGAGCGGCGAGTTCCCTGAATTCATGGAAGCGCGTTGACTAGCCATAATATTTGAGTTCCCTGAATTCGTGGAAGCGCGTTGACTAGCCATAATATTTGAGTTCCCTGGATTCGTGGAAGCGCGTTGACTAGCCATGATATTTGATAAACTTGGAGGATATTCTTATATTCGCGGGTGCCACCGCATATGTCCAGTTGTCACACTAGCCCGATGTGGCACGACACGTGGCTGATCCATACCTAGTCACTTCCTTCTCCTTTTATTTCTTTCGAGTCACAGAGCCCACACGAACCATTCGAACCAATCCGGGGGATTCTTCTCGGCTTCCTTCGCCTTGGCTTCCTGCTGCGATTCGCCGGGCGGCGCTGGTGGCGCTGGCGCTTTGGAACTCTCGGGATCGCTGGGCGGCTCCGGCTCCTTCTTAGTGTCCTCGTCCTCCTCCTATGGCCAAAACGTCAGTCATGGAATGGTGATCTCTTCCAGATCGATGAGGCGATGATCCGGGAAGAAAAACTAGAGCGCTCGGTGGAGTGGCCATTGCCAACGGGAAGAACGACTAGAGCGTGCTCATTGCCAAAATGAAAGGCAGCTAAAAGGATCTCTAGCTTGGGTCGACCGATGAGCTATAAGACGAACGCACGACCGATATGCATCTATGGATTGAGGACGATCGCAAGAGCGCTTAGATATTTCGATCGAAATTTCCCGCAAACACCGAAAGAACAATCGAGAATGACGCTCATCAAATGCCATAATATGAAGAGAATGTCGCTAAGAGGGAAGAACCGATCGATAGCTGCGGATGGATCTGTCAGGAGGGAAAGAAATCGATCGGCGCAAAGAGAGATGCAAGACTAGAAGAGAATGCCGCTAAAAGGAAAGAACCGATCGGCCGCTGCGAGGAGGGAAAGAAATCGATCGGCGCACAGAGAGATGCAAGGGACTGCGGCGACAAGGAAAGAACCGATCGACAGCTGCGATATTTCGGATAGAAATCGATCGGTGCGGCGAGAAGGAAAGAACCGATCGATAAGCTGATATTTCTGCTAGAGAATGCGGGCATCGGTGCGCGGGAGGGAAAAGAGAAGGAAATCGATCCGCGCAAAGAGAGATTACCTTGCAGCCTTCCGCCACTGGCGGCTGCTGCTCCTGCCGCCGCCGCCGCTGATCTTCATCCCGCATCACATCCAGAAGCATAGATTGGAAGTCGAGGCTCGCCATCGCCGATCGATCGTCGCCGCCGCGCAGGCGCCTCGGCTTGGCGCTGAGAAAAAGGCCCTAGCTTTCACCCCGCCATTCCCTGTATTTAAACGAGCCAACTGGGCTCTGGTACGGCATGGACCAAATCTGTGTACGAATGTCCTTAGGGTTCTCGATTGAATAGACAGGACATCCGAAATGCTGGGAGGGATTTTCCACGCGATGGAGCACCACAGCCACTGGAGGAGCCACAAGATCACGCACAGGTATGAGAGCTTGGCCGCAGAGATCGCATTCAACAGCTCCGGGATCGTCAAATCTATGGAGCTCTTCGGGGATTACGTCGCGCGGCAGCTCGGGCTGCGCAAGGGGAGCGCCATTGCTCGGCGCCTGGCCGAGGTCGCGATGGATTACCTCGCCGGGGACAAGAGCAGCTCAGATCACAGCCTGGAAGGAATCCTCGTCTTCCTCAGCAAGGTTGGCGCCGATCCAGACGACGAGGCGGTGATGCTGGACTTGCATCGCGAGATCGTCCGGGAGCTGGACGCTTGCATGATCTCCTACTTCGCCTTCCACTGGCACCACCCCTCGCAGCTCCTGGATCAGGTCCGCGACGGCCATAGCCGCCCTGGGATGAGGAGGAATTCGCTCCGGCACGCCGTCCTGGCCGCGACCAGGAAGGAGAGGTTCCAGAAGATCATGGCCGGGCTCAGGGCCAAGAGGACGATCTCGACGCTGCTCGAGACGCTCAAGGCGATGGGATCGATCTCCAAGGATTCGAGAGTTCCCAGGGAAGGCGAGGTTGTGGTTCCAGCGGAATCAAAGCACCGGAGCCCGGTTCTTCTGTTCATCGGGGGTGGAATGGGAGCCGGGAAGAGCACGGTGGTGAAAGAGATCCTCGCTGGTTCTTTCTGGTCGGGCGTGGTCCAGGACACGGTGGTGGTGGAAGCCGATGCTTTCAAAGAGACGGACGTGGTGTATAGAACGATAAGTTCGTCGGACCGTGGCGATGGTGGTGATATCGCCATGGCTTCCGAGCTCGTCCACAGCTCCTCGACGATGGCGGCGTCGTCGCTGCTCGTCTCGGCGCTCAACGATGGTAGGGACGTGATCTTCGACGGGACGATGAGTTGGGAGCCGTTTGTAGCGCAGACTATCGCCATGGCCAGAGATGTTCACAACCGGAGATACAGGATGGGACCAGGATATGTGAAGTCCGAGGATGGAACTGTGGTCGAGGAGTACTGGGTTCCGGTTGATCCAGAGGAGGAAGAACAGGGAGAAAAACAAGATCAGGGACAGGAACTCAAGAACTTCGAAGAACAGGAACGAGAACTTGATCCGGAAAAGCGAGAACTTGGCAATGCCAGTAGCGAGAAGTTCGCTCGAAAAAACAGGAGACCATACAGGATCGAATTGGTGGGAGTGACTTGTGAGCCGGTTCTAGCCGTGGAACGGGGCATCCGCCGTGCTATAATCACCAAGAGAGCGGTTCCGATCAAAGGCCAGCTGCGATCACACAAACTCTTCGCAGGATCATTGGAGAAGTACTGCGAGCTGGTGGACAACGCGAAGATCTACACGACCAACAAAGTCGGGGAGCCAGCGGAACTTATCGGCTGGAAGGACGATCTCAGCCGCTGCAGCAAGCTGTTGGTGGATCCGGCAGCGTTCCAATCCGTGAAGAAGCTGGCCGGGATCAACGAGAACGCGGGCAGCATTCTTGAGCTCTTTGCGGGGTCGCGGGATGATCCAAGTGATGATCTGGCTGCTAGCGCTTGGAGTGGGATCATCTTTTCTCCAGAGAGAGCCTCCAGGCAGGATCGTTTGAGACGATTGCTTGCGAGTGTCAAAGACTCAGCGCTGGAATCATCGCCAGACTCGAGCTCCCATGGTTCGAGCTAATCGAGGAAGAAATGGTATGTATACTCGTATTTGTGTAACATTTCGTTTGCTAATGATATTTAAAAATTTGAATGGATGGAGGTAGGGTTTATGTGGTTTTATCGTCGTGGCGAGAGGATGCCGGCGTGCGCGTCCCCGGCTGGGGCTCCGCGCACAAGGCGGTGCGAGATCTCTGCCTCGCCAGGGAGCGCGGCGCCGGGAGCGGCAGCATTGCGCGGCGATGGAGCAAGCTTAGCCGGAATCTCAGGGGCAAGGTGCTGGAGCAGCTGGTCGAGAAGGAGGAGCTCGAGATCGCGCTTGCTGTGAGTGTTCTTGGTGAGATTTCGGGCGTGAATCGTGGATTTTGGTCAGGTGTACCATGCGGAGGCGAGGAATGTGCGAATCCATGGCCACATTGCGGCGTTGATGGCTAAGGCGCGGGAGACGGTGGAGGCGGATGCGTTTGTCGCGGGATTTGATGACGAGCTGGGGGAATCCGAGAGAGTGAAGTTCCGCTGCGCGCTCCTGGAGTTCTACGCGAGGTATGGGTTGTGGGAGAGAGCTCACAGGGAGTTTGGAGAGCTAGAGGGATTGGGCAGAGCAGCCGCAGCAGCTGGGCGGAGAGCGCTGTTCCAAGCCCAGGCAAAGTTTGGCGATCCATTTAAGGCGGAGGAAACACTCAACTCGATCAAAGCTAGCGGGGAAAGGGTCTCCTCCCGGAGTTACAAGTCGTTGCTCGTCTCGTTTGGAAGGGCTGCCATCTACGGCAAAGTTGACGAGGTCTTGGAAGCCATGCTCAAGGCTGGGCACAAGCTGGATGCAGCCACTTTCAACACGATGCTCGCAGCGTATGGGACTCACAGGAAGTATAGGGAGATGCTAGAGGTGATGGAGATGATGGAGGAGGCCAGGATTGGATTGACAGTTCTCTCCTGGAACGCAGTCAGCAACGCTTGCCCGGTGCTAGCCCAGCTTACTGGTGATGCTCAAGAGCCGGAGTCACTCCTCGGCGCCGCGGATTTGCTCTCTAGACTGGATGGCTCGGACGAAGAACTGGAGCTGGTCAGGAAGCTAGTGACGATGAATCTCCCGCTTGGATCGGTGGATTGGTCGGCGGAGGTGTGGAAGCTGGACATGCACAGCTTGACACCCGGGGCAGCGTATCTCACACTTCTGTGCTGGCTCGACGAGGCAAAGCGGAAGTTTGGATCGGGTGCTAGAGTTCCCAGGGAGATCGAGGTGGTCACGGGATGGGGAAAGCACAGCAAAGTGGAGGGAAGCTCCGAGGTGAAGAATGCCGTGCTGAGATGCCTGAGGAGCGCCAAGAGTCCTCTCAAGATTGACAGGGAGAACAAGGGGAGAATGCTCGGCCGGGGACACAAACTCAAGGAATGGCTGCTAGCTTCTTGCAACGCTTGCGAGCTCGGAACTCATGGAAGCTATCAACTGTGATCTCGATGATCATCGTGAACGCTATGCTCATCAGTTCTATAAGCTTCTCACTCCAGAAGAACTACTTTGCCCTTACAGAAAAATAAAACTTATCTTTGTTGGAAGATCTATGCTAGGGAGATTTGCTACTTGCTTGGAGAGAGAATTAAGCTTTTTGGCGCCACTTTCAAAATTTTCCCGCATTTAGAGTCCTAGGGTTCTAGTTTTAGGGTTTGGCGATCGATAGGGCTTCGCGTGAAGAAGGCGAGGAGGCGCGGGGAAGCGCACCGCACTGCTAGCACGTATGTATTCTCGGCTCCCATTCCTCTTCTTTGCCCGAGCTCGTAGGAATCGCTGAAAATTTTCCACCCGCAGCAGGAGATCTAGAGCTCTAAGATTTAAAATGCGCTTTCGGGAACCAAGAATCAGTGGATAAGCGAGACAGGAGAAAGAAAAGGATGAGCGCGATCAACATCACTAATGTTACTGTGCTGGACAATCCGTCAATGTTCCTCAAGCCCTTCCAGTTTGAGATTTCTTACGAGTGTCTCATTCCCCTCAAAGATGGTCAGCGACGAGTTTTAAGTTCCTGTTCTAAATTGTTTCTCGGTTTTGTTCCTTTCCCACAGATTTGGAGTGGAAGCTCATTTACGTAGGATCAGCCGAAGATGAGAAATACGACCAAGTTCTCGAGAGTGTTCTTGTTGGCCCTGTCAACGTTGGTAATTACCGCTTCCTCTTTCAGGTGCTTTAGAATTTTTTGCTCTTCTTTTTGTGTCTAGAAAGTGTTCCACTGACTGGGATTTTCTTGTTTGTCTGATTCTTTTTCAGGCGGACCCTCCCGAGTGGACAAAAATTCCCGATGAAGATATTCTTGGAGTGACTGTGCTGCTGCTAACATGCTCGTACCTGGGCCAGGAATTTATCAGAGTTGGCTATTACGTGAGCACCGAGTACGCGGACGACAGTCTCAACTTGGAGCCGCCGGCCAAAGTTCTCATCAACCAAGTGAGACGGACTGTTCTAGCGGAGAAGCCACGGGTCACGAAATTCCCCATGGCGTTTAACGCGCCACTGGCGAACGAAAAGGTGGAGGAAGACGCAAACAACACGAGCAATGGCAGCAATCTCCTCCCCGTGGACGCCTCTTAATGGTCGAAGCTTGTGTAAGTTTTTCCTAAGCTTCCATGTTGATTTTGCAAGGTACTTATCGAATCTCTCGACCGTGACAGGTTCTCCTTAAACGTAAATGCGAACGAAGAAAGGAAAGAAGAACGAAGGATGCCTTCGTTGATTTTTCTAGGCGGGAGAAACTATTTGGCACGTCTGTGTGCTTGCGGTTTAGCATACACTCACAAACTCTTAGCTGGCTTTTGCGTAAGTTCTTGACCCCATTTGTCTTCTCTCTTTCGTGTTTTTTCTTTGCTTTCTCGTTCTCGTTCTTCTTGCAACAGCGCAGACTCGTGTCCAAACTCTAAACAGCATCCTCCTCTCGACATCTGTAATGCTCGAGAAAAAGTTGGAATCAAGTTTCGTCGTGCCCTTTTCTCCGCCTCTCTTAGTGTTTGTTGGGTGCTCCAGAAGCAGCAATGAATGCCAAGGAAACTCTCTAGCTTCGATCGGTTTGCTTGGACAAAAACGATCAAATCGATCGAGCTAGAGCTGGAATAAGTTTTCGGGACGATCGCCAAGGACAAAAACGTGTTTCTTGGTGTGATCTTATAGGATATCTTTTTGTGCCGGTTCCAGCGTTTAGGTGGGTCCTCTTTATAAGTCAATTAGCTTATATTTTTGCGATCAATCAAATCAATCAATCTTCTCAATCGATCTTTGAAAAGTAGAGCCTTCATCACTGTCACGGGAATATACCCCGGCGATTGAGACCCGTTGGCGCCAAAATTCAAAACAGCCCCAGGCATCTCTGGCACGCACGCTCTGTGGGGTTTTGTGTGGGGTTTTAGGTCGGCGCGAGAGCGAGACGATGGCGCATCGATGCGCGACCGCCGCGCCGCCGCCGCCGCCGGGGGCTGCAAATCGATTGGAGGAGGTAGGTGGAGCTGCCTGTCAGTGTCGATCGATGACGACTCCAGGAAATCGGGATATTTGGGGGGACTAGTGGTCGATCGAGAGAGGAAAGCGCTGGATTCAGCGGCTGGGGACTACCAAGTGGCAGTGCCGTGCCGGATCTCCAGGATTGGTGCGGGAGAGGAGTAGCAATCGGCAGCATTTAGCTTTGGGAGGGAAATTACTCGAAGTAGGTGTTTGTGGAAATGAGTATATTAGTGCGTGACACTTACGCGAGCTCCCCAAGTTTCCCGTGACCGGCATAGCGATAGGAGGATATCAAATCCGGGATCCAGGGACAAAAATTCTTAGGGGGCTTTTCATTTTCTCGGGGTTGACTCGCATCATCAAGTCCAGTGCCAGGGTCGCGGTTCCGTCCACGCTCGAGAAACGGGATGATGTCACTGGGTGTTGATCGACTGGTGCTCCACCGGCTGGGATTGGTACGCTCCTCCCTTTTCTTTTCTTTCGTTTTCCTTCTTGCTTGCAGTGTGTTGTTGTTTTTTCAGTTCCGTGCAATCAAAGGCCATTTTTGCGTTAAGGGCTTGCTATAAATGTTTGAGCCCGGCTCAGAGGTCTCGGGAGTGCTGTGCTGTGCGTCTTTGTGTGGGGGTGTTCGCTTGTTTTTTCCGCGTTGTTGTTGAATTCGCTGCTTGTTTTTTTTACTTATCGTAACTTATCCATCTCGTCCCGTTCTTCCTTTTGGTCTCCTCCTCTGGATCTTTCTTTTGCATGTCACAGCTTGCTGCGAATCTAGTAACTCGATAGTTCTTGTCTTCTGACACTTTATTGGTTAAGGTAAGATGGGAGATATCGAGAGCAATGGCGAAGCTTACAACGGCCACAAAGTCATGGAGGTCCTGAGGCCGCCTTACAAGAGCTCCGCCAGTGCTTTCGGAGACACTGTCAAAGAAACATTTTTCCCGGATGATCCCTTTCGGCAATTCCGCCATCAAACCGCTGCGACGAAGTTTGTTCTGGCAATGCGTTACATGTTCCCTGTGCTGGATTGGGGAGCTAAGTATAAGTTCGCGGATCTCAGAGCGGATCTAGTTTCAGGACTGACAATTGCGAGTCTCTCCATACCGCAGGTCAGTGCTGCTTTTAACTTTCACCGTAGAGGCTTAGCTCACGTACGGTGCCTGTGGGTCTTGCAGGGCATAGCATATGCAAAACTTGCAAACTTGCCCCCGATTTATGGGCTCTGTAAGTTCTCTACCTTTCATTTCGTTTCCAGCTGCGAAAAATGTGTTTTTACGCTGGTCGGTGGTTCACAATGACTTATTGTGCTGTGTGCCCAGACTCGACATTTCTACCGCCGTTGCTCTATGCAATCATGGGAAGCTCGAGAGATCTTGCAATTGGACCGTCAGCGATATTGTCACTTGTTTTGGGGACTATATTGCGTCAAGAAGCTGACCCTGTCAAGGAGCCGGAGCTCCATTTGAGGCTTGCCTTGACTGCAACCTTCTTCACAGGTGTCATCCAAGCTGGTCTTGGAGTTTTTAGGTGCGCATCATATGGACTTGAGCTTGGATCTGATGACTCGTTTCATTCACGGCAGGCTTGGATTTCTTATTGATTTTCTTTCACATGCTACGATTGTCGGTTTTGTGTCTGGCGTGGCCGTTATAATTTGCCTGCAGCAACTCAAGGGAATTCTCGGCCTAACGCATTTCACCACAAAATCGGACATTATCTCCGTTCTCCATGCTGTGTTTGAACACCCGCAACAGGTACGCTGCTCGTTCAGTTGATCTCGTCTGATTCTTTTCTTTTTCGCTTGCAGTGGAACTGGCGTACTATTGTCATTGGAGTTTGCTTCGTGACCCTTTGCTTGGTGACAAAATATATTGTGCGTTTCTGTTCCTTCGGTTTTGTTGGCTTTTAATCATTAAGACCTTCCATTCCAGGGAACAAGAAACAGGAAGTACTTCTGGCTTTCAGCTGGAGCGCCAATGACGACAGTTGTTGTGACTACGTTTTGCACATATATTACTCATGCAGAGAAACATGGTGTGAGCATCGTTGGACACTTGAAAAAGGGCCTGAATCCCATTTCAACGCACAAGCTGTTTCTTACGGGACCATATGTCTTGGCATCGGTAAAAATTGCTGTGGTGGTGGCAGCTATTGGACTTATGGTACGAATTGTGCTGTTTCTAATTTCCTGGGGGACTGACCGACGAATTCAGGAAGCGATAGCGATTGGGAGAACGTTCGCGTCCATGAAAGGCTATGATCTTGATGGCAACAAGGAGATGATAGCGTTTGGTGTCATGAACACTTGCAGCGCGTGCATGTCTTGTTATGCTACTACAGGTGCTCTTTCACTTTGCCTTTGCTACTCTTGCAAATGTTTTATCTTGTTCTTTGCTTTTTGTTTTGTTTTGGACAGGGGCTGTCTCTCGTTCGGCTGTGAACTTCAACGCAGGTTGCAGGACGGCATTTTCCAACATCGTCATGTCATTTGTCATCATGGTTACGTTGCTGGTTCTCATGCCGTTATTCCATTATACTCCCAACGTCACGCTCGCTGCCATTATCTTTGCTGCTGTTATTGGGCTGATTGATCCATGTACCGCGTACCAAATTTTCAAGGTGGACAAGATCGACTTTCTCGCTTGCATCGCTGGTTTTCTAGGAGTTATCTTCATTTCTATTCAGATGGGGCTTGTGATCGCTGTAAGAACCCTCTCTACTCTCTGCACCTGAGATAGATGATATAACAGCGTTGTTTTTGCAGGTTACCATTTCTCTTGCGAGACTTATACTGCAAATGACAAGGCCACACACGTCACTCCTGGGTCAAATACCAGGGACGAACGTTTTCAGGAACAAAAAGCAGTACCCAGGCACGATGAAAACGGATGGCATTCTTGTGATTCGAATCGATGCAGGCATTTACTTTTCAAACGCAAACTACATCAGAGAAAGGTAACACACTGTACAGGAATGCCTTGAATGCTGACGTGAAAATTATCCCAACGTTTGGAGATGACAGAGTCTTCAGATGGATAGCTGATGAGGAAGACGCTAACGGGAAATCAGGACAGTCTTCGATTCGCTATGTGATCATCGACTTAACCCGTAAGCAGTAGCAGCAACCTTGGCGTGGCTCATAGTTTTTATTACAGCGGTGATGAACATTGACACAAGTGGGATCCATGGCTTTGAAAACATCCAGAGAATCTTGAAAAGCAGAGGTGTTCAGGTAGAAAAAGGGAAACCATCCTCGATGTTTATCTCGATATCTGATCTTTGATATTTCTTTGCTTCTGTCAGCTTGCGTTCGCAAATCCTGGGAGTGGCGTTTTTGAGAAGCTGCACAAGTCCAAGTTCATGGAGTCTCTCGGCCAGCAGTGGGTGTTCCTCACGGTGAGCGAGGCCGTGCAAGTTTGCTCATCGCTACTCGCCATGGAAAACAAGGGCCTGGCGGAGTAGAGCGATTCAAAGATTACGCACACATTTGTGCGTATGTACAGGTAAAACAGTGCTGTATATTATGACCCCAACATTTTGCAAGAAAGATGGTCTAAGTAGTAAACCATGAACATTAACAAAAGAAGAAATGCAAGCTCCACAAAAGGATTATTTTTCTACTCTCTTCGATGCGAATGGGAAAAACAAGTATATTGTTTAGTGGCATTCACAAAGAAGCAAATTACAAGAAAAGTTTTGACCACGGGGTCAATGAATAAGAACCATTTTTTTTTTTAAAAAAAATCACTTTCCTCTGTATGAATCTAGTGGCAGAGATACGACCATGTTGTATGCTCCAACGCCTTTATACGTGGAAATACTCAACCGCATACGCGTGGTCCACCTTTGGCGGCTCTCTACATTTAAAAACATTACATAGAATATCTCCGCAAACCTTCCACAGAAACTAGGCCGTGCAAATATACCGCCGTTGCCTGATTGATCATTCTCCTTTCAAGGCCTCGGAAAAAACAGTGATTGTTTTACATCCTGATTGATCCTGATTGACACACAAAAGCATTAAGTCGGGATTGATTGAAATGCCTATAGCTATACTCATCACTCAGCACCGTGTAGCCGTAGCATATAGCCGCATATAGCATGCTTTTTTGTTCTTGCTGATGTCAAACCCACGAAAGGGGGTCTCTGTCAAATCGCTGATTCTCTGCGATGCTGGAGAATCAACCAAGCAAAGCACGAAGCTTTCTCGTGCCAAATCTTTCCGGGACTGCATAACAAGGTAGTAGACTGTTAGCGTATATGGAAAGGCACGCTGCTCTACACACACGCACTACACACACCTGGTGCGCGCTGCTGCAGCTACAGCCTGCTCACCAAGTTGAGCCATCTCGGTCTCCATCCCAAGCTTGTCCTGTGCTCAAACCGGGCCGATTTTGCAATCCCAGCTGCTGCTACGCACCTTCACATCGGAAGTTTTTATGAGCTGAGCGAAAAACTAATGTCACGAGCAGGGGCACGTACCTTAGTTGCACATACGTTTGATCATGCTCCTATTATTGCCAGTTTGATATTGGTTTTCCTCAAAGCAGCAGCCACGAAATCCACAGCCGCAATTCAATCCTGCTTTGTCCTCGAGTACCATGGCTTAATCTGCCGCTGCCCCCTCTTACCTTGCTCGCATTTCTTTAAAGAGAGTTCCCCAAGGCGGAGCAAAGCATTATTGGGTGTAGTCACTCCCCCCAGTTTTTTAATCTCCTGCTCGTTCGGTCCATCCGTCACTGTGAATGCAACAAATGGTTTTTAGCCGGGTCAGAACGCTCACATGTTATACCTCGAGGCTTGGTGGTCTAGAGCTCGCTAAAACGCGACAGAAAATAAACAAACCACCGGTGTCCAGTGAAAGACTTCCAACCTGCATGCATGCCAAAGTTAACAGCACGAAAGAAAAACAGAAAACAATCTCTCTCTCTCTCTCTCTCTCTCTCTCTCTCTCTCTCTCTCTCTGTGCTCTTTTTTTTGTTTGCGTTCTCAGGTGCTTTCTTCTCAGGAACAAAGCCGCGACTGCCTGTCAAAATGCTAGCATCAGCCATCACCAGTTGTGACACACTGACCGCTGCTCCTGCAAGAAGAGAAGTGTTTAGCCTTTTCCTCATTTTCTTTGCTACTTTTATAACCTGCTTGGCAGTTGCTTCACTCGCCAGCAACGTGAATCTGCCCTGAGCAGCGGGTTGAATCCATCAGATGGAAGCAGTGGCCCTGACCACGAAGACAACGAAGAAGACCACCAGCACCAAATGCTCGTTTTAATGAGGATCGCTGAGCTGCGCCATCACCACGAAGCTTAAAAGCGCGAACTTGCTCAAAAGGTCGGAGAGGCACTGTGCTGCTGCGGGATTCTCGTCAATAACCAGCCTTGTCTTAGTTTAGAGCGAAGTGAAGTGGAGTGAGAGAGAAAGAGAGAGAGCGCTCTGCGTCGTCGTCAAGTATGGTGGTTCCCGTGGGCCTCCGAAGAGAAGGCAGTGATAATAATGATCACGGCGGCCTTTTCCCTGGATCTCTGGGGAGTGTCCTGCACCACCTGGAGTACAGCCAGGCCGCTACCACGACGGAGAAAATGGCTTCCAGATCCCAGCAGCAACTGCCTTTCAGTAAAAATCATCCCGCCGCCGACCATTTCCTTCGACACCAGCATCTCCCGCTGAGCTCCTGGAGCTTCTCTCCGTCGCTCCTGGACAAATCCAGGGAACTCGAACAGCACCAGCACCAGCAGGTCAGCAGCAGCACAAGCATGACCGCCACAGGCTGGAGTCCCAAAGGCTGCTTTTTCCAGCTCCAACCACAGCAGCAGCAGCAGCAAAACTCCTCGATGCTCTTGTTTTCTCCATCGCCACCGCAGCAGCAGGAACAGCAGCAGGCCTTTTCACTCCACCCGAAATCCACCGATCACGCCCGGCGAGGAGGAGGATCGTCGAAGAAAGCTCGCAGCAGCACCGTTGAAACACCAGCAGCGGAGCCTCCAAGAGCCGCCTCAAAGGAACCGCCACTCTCAAGTTCATGCCGACGAGACGACTCCTCCTCGTCCCTGTCCTCTTCAATTCACCGGGGTGGCAAGATGACGAGCTTGGGAGCCAGTCCCAAATGCAACGTCTGCTCGCACAAGCCAAACGAAGCCCGAGTCATCACCTTCTGCGGCCACCTCTTGTGCTGGCCCTGTCTCTGCTGCTGGCTCCACAACAAGTCCCCGGACAAGGAGTGTCCCGTCTGCAACCGGCCCCTCACCAAGAACCACATCACTCCCTTGCACGGCCGGCAAAACAGTCTCACCGTCGCCCGCTTGCAAGGGATGCTTCGACCCGAGAAAACGACGTCGACGCCTCGGGTCCATTCCAGAGGAGGCGATGGTGCTTGGAGCAGGCGCCATCAATCCAGAATTTCCACCGCCACCACCGCTGCCGCTTCCGCTGCTTCGGCCACCTCAAAATCAGCACCAGCGGGGCCGCGGAGCATTGTTTTCGATGCCACTCCGAAAGTAAACACGTCCAAGGTTGAGGATGATAGTAGCAGCAGCATCATGCGGATCCTCACCGGCCACAGCTCGTCCAAGTTTTTCACCCCGGCACTAACACCACCACCAGCAACCGTGGCAGCAGCAGCAGCGGCCACGGAGGTTAATAACTGGAGTCGCCCCGCGGAAAAATCATGTTTTGATCGCGATCCACCAGCGGTACCGGCATTGAGCAGCACCGAAGCGATGGAGCTCGCATCGTCGTCGTCACCGACCGTGGTTGAAGAGCCGTCGTCGTCCCCGACCGTGGTTGAAGAGCAGTATCAGCATGGCAACACTGGCTCGTTGTGCGGTGCCATAAGCACGGTCTCGACGGTTGTGACCACGGATGCTTGCAGAGATGATGCTAGGCTCGCGCCGATCAAAGTCTCGTCTCCTCCGGCAGCTTACGAAGGATCATTTGCCGAAGTTGCAGGCTACGAAGAGATAAGAGAGCTCGGGGTCTTGTTGTCGCTCGAGTGGGAGGGAGCCATGAGCGCGATCGAAAACGCCTGGCGGGATGCTGTCTCAGACGTTCTCAACGCCGGTGGTAACACTGCCGATGCGATGGGAGTCGTTGAGCGGCTGTCCAGAGAGAAGGAGACCATCATCCACGAGCTGGCGTCGGAGCCACTCAAAGGATCGAACTGGCTGGCGTCGAGGTTGGAGTATTTCACGATGATAGCCAGCGAGGAGATTGATAAGAGGACGCCGGTGCCGCAAGAGTTCATTCCAATGGAGATCGAGGACTGGTTCTTAGATTCGCCTGATGATGGCCAGACTTTGTTCCCAGAGTTCGTAGAGCAAGAGCAAGCCGAAGTAGCCGATGGCGAGTACCAGAGGAAGTGAAGAGACGGCTCTGGCTATACCAGCAGCACCACATTACCACAGCACCCCGGTTTGCGACATTTTTTTTTTTTGTTGTTGTTACTGCTGCAACGAAAACCATGATTTTTTGAGCCCACTCTTAATGTTGCATGTTTGTATCCCATGGTAGCTTTGACTTCGACCTCCTTCCCTCCCACTTCTAATCCTCCCCCCACTTGAAATGGGAAAAGTTAGCGCGCGAGCCATCCGCTCGTGGTTTTGTTCGTAAACAAACAGCTGCAGCCTCCAGGAACAATTCTCTTCTTGTCGTCTTCCATCGTGGCTTTCTCCTGCAAATGGAAATTCCAAAGTAGTTAGCGAAAAGCTCTCATCAAGGAACGAACACACAAAAGCCAAGCAGCCACCAGAGAAAGAAATAGCATGCCATTCTCTCTCGGGTCCACCTTCAAGGCAGAGAGCTCTTATAATTCACACGCATGCGTCGCAGGAATACAAACAACGCATACTCTTTCTCTCCTCTCGCTTTGCCTGCCAGTAAATCAGGCCTGAAAAAGAAAGCTGTGAAAGGAAATGTACTTACGAGCCTGTTTGCTTGTCATTCCAACGCTCTCTTTTCTTAGATCTGTTCTTGCTCGCTGACGTGCGTCCTGCCGCCGTCTTCAGCTCCAACGCCTGGGATCCACGCGTAGCTCATCCAACGGGGCGTCCGGTGGTGCCTCCAGGATCTTGCTCGAAGTTTGGGCCACTTCCCTGTCAACTGTTTCCTGCTCCTGCTACTTAACTATACTGCCAGTACAATCCCCCTGTTCACCTCCTCGTTCCCCGCTGTGCTCTACGCTACTCGTGCCAACAGGATACTATACGCCGGCTATTATAACACAGCTTCCAAAGGTGACACCATGTGTAGACAATGGTGACACCATATGAGCGACCGAGCTAGAGAGCCTGCAGTAGCGAAAGAAACTTAAAATTACACAAAAGACAAGTTACGAACCTCTTTCAGCACCTATTTGAAGAAAACAAAAACAAAACTTAACGCTTTCTTATGTTCCTCTGTCCCTGAACACCGCACGAATCGAATGTTTTCTCATACCCGATTCGGTGGCAGCAAAAATTAGAAATGGTTCCAAGCAGCTTCAGTGAACTGCTGCTTGAACAAGCGTCTGTAGCATTCCTTGAAAGGATTGCAGTGACTCCTGCAACCTCACTTCTTCCTCCACCGCGTATTTCAGCTTCGTAACCTGTACCTCATATCAAAGGTTGATGGTAACGCGCTTGACAAAAAATTAGGACGTACGGTCATACCTGTTGTTTCAGCGATTGAGAAGCTGCAAAGCTTGTGGCGCATGTATCAAATACGCTATGGGCAGCAGGAACTAAAAGCCGTGAATACTTTGGCGACGCAACATGCCTGTCACGAGACAGTGAATTGTCAATGCTATGGTAACCATGGCAACTTACTTTGTCAGGAACGCCAAAAGAATTTCCAGTTCTCCTACTTCCAAATTCGAAAATGCTTGCACTAATCCCTTGCGAGCTACTAGTTCTTCAATTACAGCAACCACCACCTACACGGAGTATAAAATAAAACAAATCGCAGAGAATGAGAGGCACGTACCGTTGGATCCTTTGTATTCAAAGCCGCGAGCAGAGCGTCCTTGTATCGAAATTTGAGTAATAGCCAGTCGTGTTCTTGGCGCAAAGCTCTTTTTGTGCTACCAAGAACATAATCGTCATCCTGAGAATAAAAACAGAAACAATGGTCAATAGTGGCAATACAGGGAAGACTTATTGAACATACAGATGCTTTTTCGGCAGCCCCACGTAGAAAATATCTGAAGTTGCTAGGCCGCAACACTTGCTTCTGTTCTTGCCCGCTGACTTCAAGAGCCTGAGTGGCTCTCTCTTCGCTGATTACGCTCTTCCTTTGACGCACAGAAAGCAAACCTGATGCTGTTCCAACGGCCAGCGAGGTACACGATGGGGAAACATCCATTGCCAATATCGGGCCTGGATATTTTGCAGCATGAACCACCTACGGAAATTTATGATTCGTAAGTACCAAAGGAACAGAAAAATACCTTGAAATCTTCGATATCAAAAACCTTCAGCAGCCCATCCAACGATGCCGTGAGAAGTCTGGATTCCGACTCGCTAGGTGTCGTTAGCTTTAGCTTCTTCACAGTTTTCTGATGATTCCCGAGGACCGTCAAAACCTTTCCAGCCACCACGTCCCAAATCTTCACCATGTTTCCACCTATTTGGAAATCATATAAGCACCTTGGAGAGAGGAAAAACACAACAGTTATAAACTTGCTTACCGGCAGTTGCGAGAAGACTTCCAGAAGGAAAAAAGAGAACATCTTCCAAGGGCTTATCATGCTGAAAAAGCAAAGTACTGTCAGAAAAAATTCAAAAACTAAAATGAAAAAAATCACGCAGAACCTGCAGCAGCGATACGGATTTTGCAGTCCGAGTGTCCCACATTCGCACAGTGTGGTCGTAGGACCCAGTGACCCTACAAAAAAGCTTAGGCTCAAGCCCACACACTTTCGAGTATTACCATATCCCAGGACTCGCTGGGTTGTATGAACCGCAACGAACGTAATCCGTGTGCTCCTGGAATTTCACCACTGCTTCCTAGAAAAGCGAGTTCGTTTTAGATTAGAGAGCTTAAAAAAAACCAAGAAAAGTAGCAACCTCACTAGCAACATCCCACCACCGGACCGAATTATCATCACTTCCAGATAACACGTGAAGCTTGTCTGATTCCGAGTAGCGAACCCAACGCACAGCTCTACAGAGAAAAGAGAAAACGCGTAACCATCAAGTATGAAAACTCAACACAACAATGTACCTGGAGTGACCTTTCAATTGCCGGAGCGTTATCCGACTATTGGCATCGAAGATCTAGAGCATGCATGAAACACAAGTTAAAAACGAAAGAAAAACTGTGGACGCAGAAAAAAAAGCACCTGAATCAACCCGGTTTCGCCACCAGCCATGATCAACTGTCCATCGGGACGAAAGCTTCCAGAGTACGCCTGGCAAAGAGAAGCAAAAACTTCACAACGAGAAACACAGAAGAAAAAAGAGAGAGAGATACCAAATCGGTGAATCTCGATATCGTTTTCTTCACTTGACACGAAGCTCCATCGTAAACCACAACCTACACAACGGCATTCTCATCGCAAATGCACAAGAAATGCGGCAGAAGCTTACCCTGGTGGACGCTGTGACCACAAAATCGTGAGGAAAAACCGGACAGAAATCCACGCAGGTAACCGCGAATTTCTGCTCGTCGACGATCCTGCTCTTGAATCGCCTCCAGAACTTCGAATCGGCAGTGAGGGGATTGCGCGATTTCGGCAGCTGCTTCTTCCCGACGGGAACGTAGCTCGACGCCGCCTCCATTGATCGAAAGAAAGAAGAAGAAACAAGAGCCCTAAAACCCTACATATTTTAGGGTTCTTATTTTGCAGGGCATGGCGACCGCGGCACCGGCTCCTCCAGCGCCTGGGCCACAAGCGCAAGCGCAGCAGCCTCCTCCTTCCGAGGTTCCGCCAAACCAGACGATCTACATCAACAATCTCAACGAGAAGATCAAGAAGGACGGTGAGTCGAAAGAGCGATGTTTTTGCGATAGATTATCATAGCCTTTTCTTTCCTGCTGTGCCAGAGCTTGTGAAATCGCTGCGAGCGGTGTTCTCGCAGTTTGGGAACATTCTCGACATCGTCGCGTGTAAGTCACTGAAGCTCAAAGGCCAGGCGTGGGTCGTGTTTGAGGATGTTACCGCTGCTACCAATGCGCTGCGCCAAATGCAAGAGTTTCCATTCTATGACAAGGCTCTCGTAAGTCACACAGTTCCATTCTATGACCAGACTCACACAGTTCATGTTCTTCCTTTCTTTTTTTCTTCTTTTTTTTTTTTCCAGAGGATTCAATATGCGAAAACAAAGTCCGACGCTGTGGCTAAACTCGATGGCACATTTATTCCCAAGGAGAAGAGAAAGAAGATAGACGAGAAAGGTAGACAAGAAACTTTTCTCTTGCTTTTGCCTTGACTCTTTCTTTCTTTATGTTTTTTCACCCTGGTGTAGCTGAGAAGAGAAAACGGGAGCACCACGAATCCCACTCCTATCACGTAAGCTTCTTTCAATCTGATCTCTTCCAATTCTCCCAGCTCTCAATCTTTGGATCACTTGTTTGCCTTTGCAGTATCCAATGCGAACTTCCGTCCCCGAGATCGCGCTTCCAAACAACATCCTTTTTGTACAAAAGCTCCCTCACGACACGTCGAGCGCGCAGCTCCAGATGCTCTTCTCCTCCATCCCGGGCTTCAAAGAGGTTCGAATGGTGGACGCCAAGCCCGGCATCGCCTTCGTGGAGTACGCTGAGGTGGATCAGGCAAGCGTTGCCAAGAGCACCTTTCACGCCTTTCGTGTCAACGAGTCTCCAATGCACATCACGTACGCCAAGAGGTGATCATCAACATCACAAGCAAAGAAAGAAAGCAAAGCAAAGGTTTCTTGTAAGATCACGTCCGAGATTTCTCACTGAACCATAGATCATAGCTTCTCTTTTGTATCATTGCCTTGAAATGTTAATCATTCGAATATGAGTTAGCACCATTGAAAGTGTTTGACCGTTGAATATTTTTTACCGAGGCCTTTTGCTTTTGACCAGGGGGGTACGCGAGAGAGATGTGGCTGTGGGTAGTGGCTGTACAAAGATTTTCTTCCCAAATGCCCTATAGACCAGAGAAAATGAGCTTTTGATGCTCCCAAATCTCTTTCCCAAAAGCAACACTTGTGGCTATCCCGGGCGAAAAGGACGATGCGCTTTATGTAAAGGTTGTGCGCTACCTGTTAACACTTTTCTCGCGATTTCGCCCACGCACGCATCATGGAATCAAAACCTTCCACAAACACTATAATTGACAACCATACTATAGCATTAGTTTAAACAGTATGCTAGAGGGGAAAAAGCACCCCCTTGGCAATCACAGCTAATAGAAAGAAAGAGATAATATATACTTTTTCTCGTCATGGTTACTTAGAGGGCCAAATATCTATCTACCTGGTGCGCACTTTTTAACGGGTGGGTGGCAATGAACCGTCCAAAGTAAATCTTTTACTCTAACGGCGACATGTCCACGTGCCAAGTGGACCAGCTTTTGCTGCTTACGTGCATTATGGGGGGGCGAGCCCACAGCCGCCACGTGGCGGCCTGCCCGCCACAAGAGCCCGCCAAAAATCCCCAAAAGCCTGGCACGCCCACCTATTGCTCTATAGATAAAAGAAAGAGAAGAAAAGGGACAGTGCCTTTTTCTTGCGTTTGAAAGCGGCTGGAATATGCTCGCCCACTGTCGGATATTCGTACGCTGTGGAATATTTCCCCGCGCGGGTAGTGGGGTCGAGTGAGTGGAGAAACAAAATGTAAAGAGGGGGAGGACGGCGCCATAGCCACAAGCTGGGCTTGTGGACCTCCTTCCGCAAGCCCACGTGCTCAATTGGTCCCCCAAAATGGAGCCCACCAATGGCTGGGTGCCACCTGGGCACGATGAAAAAGCCGCCGCGTTGCCCTAATCTCCCACGTCCCGTGTTCGACCCCGCGACCCTTTTCTTTCGTGTAGCTCGAGTTGTAAGAGCTATGGCTTGTCGGCCACACCGGGAGCTTGGATGAGCTTACTGCGGATGATTTTGGTTGCTCGGATGGGTGTCTCGCGATCTTCTCTTTGTTTTCTTGCTTCGCATTCTCTCTGGGTAAGTCGGATCGTTTGTGTGAATTCCGTGTGCTGTCTGAAATGGTGCCGGGCTTTGCAGATTCTAGGACTCGGCAGCGCGGATTCGTGACGTCTTGATGACGAGGAGATGGACGATGGAGTGTGAGCAGCGCTTGATCATCAACAACAGCACGACGGATCCGGCGATCAAACTGTTTGGCAAGACGATCCCGCTACTGTCGGACAAGCCCGCCAAGAATCACCCGCAATTCCACCAGCAACAGCAGCTGCAGCAGCAGCAGCAGCAGGTGGGTGTCGCGAATTTGCGGTTGCGATGGAAAATCACTTGGGCATTGCCTCGGGAATTCGTTTCTTGTTGATCTTAGGAGGTCGTGGACGAGTCGAGGGACGAGGAAGCGATCACCGAGGACGATCACCACCCTCCGCCCGAGCAGGAGGAGGTGATCGAGGTGGTCGATCACCAGGAGGAGGATTACTGTGACATTGATGAAGCGCCAGTGGATCAAAGCCCCGCCGCCGCCGCCGCCGCCGCCACCACCACTACGTCCACCGATCTACAACAAGCGCTAGATCGCAAGGATGGGGGCAGTGGCGGCGATAATGGCGGCGATCAGCAGCAGCAAAAGCCCAAGAAGCCCGACAAGCCTGTCGCCTGCCCCCGTTGCGACAGCATGGACACCAAATTCTGCTACTACAACAACTATAACATAAACCAGCCGCGCCACTTCTGCAAGAACTGCCAGCGCTACTGGACATCCGGCGGTACGCTGCGCAACGTGCCCGTGGGTGCCGGGCGGCGCAAGAACAAGCACCACCACCACCATCATCACCACCACCACCATACCGCCGGCGCCGGCGGCGCCGGCGCTACACCTGCCGCCGCGGTACCGCCCGGTAGCCAGTGGCACCAGCACCACGCCGCCGCGGCCGCCGCCGCGGCGCACGCGGCGGCGCTCAACTACGGGCAGCAGCAGGCGCTCAAGATCATACCGCCGCAGATCCTCCAGCAGCAGCACGACGAGGGGAGTATCGTCACCAGCGCCGGCGGCGTGCCGCCGAGTAGCGTCACGACACCGAAGAGCGCCGGCGGTAAGAATGCCGGGGAAATGAATTGCTATGCTTTCCAGTTTGGATCGCCGCGGCAGCAGCAGCAGCAGCAGCAAACGAAGCGGTGCCCGAGCCAGAGCAGCAACTCCGAGGTCACTGTTTGCGGGGGTTCGTTCTCCTCGCCATCGCCCAGTAGCAACAATAGCAACAAGAAGAAGAGTATCACCACCACCACCACCACCACCACTGGTACCGCCAGCGGTACCACCACCGACAACGCCGCCAACAACTCGGGAGTTTGCGGGATGGACAAATGCCCCGAGGAGGCAAATGCCGCGGCGGCGGCGGCGACGGCTGCTGCCGCGGCTGCCGCGGCGGCATGGGTCCTCCCAATGGGTTTTCTGGGCGGTAAGAACGGGCAGCACGCGATGCCTTACCACCAGGCCGGCGGTGCGTGCGGTATACCGTGCTGGCCTTCGCCGGTACCGCCGGTGCTGGCGGCGGCGGCCGCGGGGCAGTGGAGCATGCAGTGGGCGGCGATGGCGGCGGTGGCGGCGGCGGCGAATGCCAGCGCCAACAATGCCGCCGCTGTCGCCGCCGCCGCCGCAGCGGCCATGGGCGGTACGAAGCGCCCCGTGGAAAAATCCGACGGTGGGTGTTTGTGGGTGCCGAAGACGCTCCGGATCGACGATCCGGGCGACGCGGCGAGGAGCTCCATCTGGGCGGCGCTGGGCGTGGATCGAAAGCACACTGTTTTCCAGCACTCCTCAGGTACCAAAGCTTTTCTTCGCAACTTATCATGTCCATTTTTGTTGAAGATTTGGACCACCAACACCAACAAAGGATGAAGATGCTCCAGCTCCAGATGCCAGGGGACCAAATCACGAACCCGGCGGCCATGGCTCGATCGGCTTCGTTCCACGAGAGCAACTAATCATCCTGGCTCAACTCTCTTCTCTCATTTAAGTTTCTTCGCGCTTGTCCCGTGAAGTTCTTTGGGATTTTCATAAGTTGCCGCAAGCTGGGGGAGGCATTCCAGTTCTTCGTGCTGGCAACTTACTTCTAATGCTGCTGACTACAAAAGCTAGGTATTACGTTGGGCGTGTAAACTTTTTGTTTTTATACAGAAGGTGTGACATTGTAAAAAACTATCACTGGAAAGGTAAGGTTTTTTCTAAAACTAGTATATCAACTTCATATCAAAGTATATCAACTTGTAAAACAACTTCCAAAACAAATATCAAGTATCAACTTCCAAAACCAACGTAAAAAAGTTTTTTCTTTTCTGCTTTGCTCTTGCTCTTTACAAAACATTCTCACATCTTCTATGTGCCAGAACGGAAAAAGAAAAAAGAAAAAGAAAACGAGAAACGAGAAGTTCTACATACCCCGCAATGCTTGAAAACAGCACCAAAACTTCCACCAAGAGCTTTGTTCCTCGTTTGGAAAGAAGCTTTTGATGGATGGGTGGATCAAACTTTGGCCATGTCTGCCTCGGAGCGCCGGCGATGGTGGTGGTGACTCCCCCCAAGAACTGGAAGGCTAGACGTCCGCGAGTGAAGCATTTGCTTGGCACACGGCGCTACGAGAGGAGGCGAGCTTTTGTGCGACGATGAGTTCTGGCGCTGGCCACAAACTTTATAGATATCAAAACCCATCCGAGGAGTTGCATCGTCCAGTTTCGCCGCTGCCGCCGCCGCTACTGCCGCTCTACTACCAGTACTACGACGCTGCTGCACCGCGCGCACCGAGTTCTTGCCGCTGCCACTGTGGTTGCCACCACTGCCGGACTCGAGGGCGGCCATGATATCCGACACTTCCTCCTCGGACCAGTATCCATCGCCGTTGTCCCCAAAACTGTCGATGAAATCTTCTGTTTCCTCGTCTGATCTAACGCTGCTCTCGCTGACGGATCCTTCTACCTGTGGATGATAGCTCAAGTTAGAAAAATTTTGAGAAAGAGAGAGAAAAAGTCTACCTCTTCGTCTGGCTGGAGCTCTTCCTTATTATCATCTAGTTCCTCATCGCTATCAAGGCTGAGATTATCCTCTTCCGGCTCTTCCTCTTCCTCGCTTACAAATACTGCCGATTCATCGACTGCCTACGCAAACCAAGATAGAATCTCAGTGCCAGAAAAAACGAAACGAAACAAAGGAAGAAAAACGAAAGCTTGCTTGCTTACCTCTTTCTCGGCCACTTCCGCGTGCCTGGGAGAGCTCGACGAAAGAGAACTACCATCACCGCCACCCCCACTACTGCTAGTTTCCCCGGCCTCCGTCGAAAACGCACTCATACCAAAATTGCCAAACTGTAGATTCACGGGACCCGACTTTGGAGCACTGTCGCCGTTGGAAAGCTTTCCTGTCCCGTCCACCGATTCTATAGGCCACGCCTTGGCCACGGAGCCGTCCACGTTCATGAGAGCCATAAGGTGATGCGACGACCCCTTGCGCTGGATAAGTTGGAACATACACTCGGAGCTCAGCGACGACGCGGCGCTCTGGTTCTGATACTCTTGGTCGACCACCTTGACAGTGTTGGTAGCTGGGTCGCACAGAGCCTCTCCGCCTTCCTTCCTCCTGAGACAAGCAAAGATGGTGGCGTGGATCCCCGCTACGCTCTTGTCCACGTTTGTATTGTTCACCTTGGGGACCAGATGCTTGTCCGCACGCTTGAATAAGTATTCCTGGATCGTCCTGATGTTCCGTATATACTTGGCATACTTGTTCTTGGACGGATCCAGAGTCATGTACTTGGCTCGGACCGCAAAGCGCTCCAAGTGTTTCTCCTCGTTGGAAATATAAATCATAAACGGGATGATCGAAGGATGCTTCCTCATGAGGCCCATCTGGAAACACACAGGAAAAGAGAGCACGTTAGGAGAAGAAAAAAGAAAAAAAAGAGAAGTTTTTCTAAAAGCACGAGCCACGTTACCACAAAGTTTAGACTTAGGTGCACGCCTTCGACGACTACCGACTCGTTCCTGTGCTCCCACGACGTGATTAGCCGGTCTAAACTATCGATGACCATCTCACACTGAGCTTTGAATCCCTGGACCACCATCGACTTCGCAGTAGAATCCGAGGAGTTTTTCTCGACTGGCACCTCTGCTTGTTGTTGCAGATCCTTCTCCTCGACTGACCCTGACTGATTTGTACCCGCCTTCTTTCTAGCGGTTGCCTCTCGGATAGCAACCGGGTCCAAAAATTCTCCAGCATGATAAGTAGAGGCCCATAAAAGAGGATTGGACTTCTCGTCCGCAAAACTCCTCATCATGTGACGAATTGAGTCCGTGGACACCACTGTCGTTATTCCCAGCCGGCTAGCCTGGGAAAACAGAACAACCAGGGAATAAATCCAGAGAACTACGTCATCGATCTGACTTACCAGCAGGGAAGACAAAGTCGATTTACCGCACCCGCTTGTGCCGCAAAGAAGAACCGTGACTGAAGACTTGCGCTCCCTGTACCTAATAGAATGAAAAAAAAAAGAAAAACGTCTAGCTCGAGGAACAAAAATGTCAAGAAAAACCTTACCGGCACGCAAGCATCAAGTCGGCCCTTTGATTCGGTCCAACGTATTGATATTGTGCCAAAGCATCGCACACAACATCCAGGAATTTCTCTCGTCCGATAACCACCATGGAGCGTTTCTTGCTTCGGGACGCTGGAGGCTTCCGGAAGCTCGACTGCTCCAGGAATTCCTCCGCGATTTCTTGCTGCTCCACTGGATAGCCATGGTACTCGAAAACCTTGGAGGGCGGTTCCACGCGTAGCACATCGAAAACTCTCACGCTGATCTACAGTCGAAGGTAAGAAAACTTAGCATCCTGGAAGAAGAGAAGGCAAAATAATTTTTCCAGGCACCTTGAATGCATGGCGTGCCTTACAGCCCATAAACTGGAGAGTGCTCTGCAAGGCAGCGCGAGTGTACCGAGAAGAGGGCAAGCGCTTCTTCTGGCTCCAATCTTGATCCACATTTGATCCCTGATCGCTCGGCGCCTCATCGTGCACGATCACATAGAGCAGCTTGGGACGCTCCGCCATGGCCTCTCGCCCCGATTCCTCGGCCCTCATTTCTCACCCCAGCGGCGGCATTCCCGATTCTCTCTCGGCAAACCGCGTGGCGAGCGCCAAAAACAAGCGCCGATAACAAAAAACAATCCGATCGAGCGAGCGAGCTTACCAGCCAAAAAGGGGATCGATGGAAGCGAAATTTCTAGAGCGCGCGCAGGGAGAACAACGCGATCAAACAACCCTAAAAATGCTTGAATGAGGCACGAGGCTCCTGCTCGCGGCTTAATAAGGAGCCCGAGTCGGCCCGCGGAATAGGCCACCAGATCAACGGCCAGAGATGGTCCTATGATGCATGCCCACATTCCGGAATGCCCATGGCTTGACTTTTCTGCCCGGGGAAGATTAACTGATCTAACAGGTACCAGTGGGTCCCAGAATCTTCGCCCGGATGGATACGATTACGTTATAATTGCATGTGCGCCTGATAGTATATACACCATGTTTGCCACTTGGCAGCAACGCTGACCGGATGCCCACTGGCATAGCCACACGTGGAGCGACACCCACGTGGGCAAAAAGCCTTACTCGCGGTACGACACGTGGAGTCAAGCGGTCAGCCATAGTCAAAGACGCCAGACTTGATTCAAAGATTTTCTCTACTGAAGAAAACAAAGGAAAAGTATGGAGACATTGAGCAAGTACCTTGGACAAGATTTTTTTTTCTCCTTTTTTTCTTTCTTTCTTTTTTGCGCTTCCTTTTTCCTGTTCCGGCATGGCGCATTAAAAGTGATCGTCGTCTCGCCTGGTCCCAAAGACTGGAAGAAGAGTGGAATCTCGGGCATTGATGAGCGCCGCTTTGTTGCGGCAGGCCGTCGCAAAGATCCATCCAGTCGCGGTCGAGAAAGTGAGAGCTCCAGTTGCTGCCCGCTATGGATGAGGAAGAGCTCTACTTTTCTTTGATACGCCGCCTGAAAGGGACCGACTTAGAAGAGAGATAGAGCGAAAAAATCAGAGCTTTAAACCTTAGCTGAGAACCACGAGGCCCAAATGCTTGAGTGGGATTGAAAAGGATGTAAGGCTTGCGAGCCGTCCACATAAACAACTCAAGAGCCAAAAGCTCACCGGAAGTTGTCAAATTATCGGTCTGTTCGTGTAAGATTGCTCGGTCCCCTACCCCCTTGAAAATCTTGTGAATAAACTTAACAAGTTTAAAGTAGCTTCATTCCTGTGATCCTGTTCCCACTACTACAATATCTATCCTCTAGCTTGTCTATCCGTACTACTTTTCTTGCGATCCAAATTTGAAGCTTTTTGATTTCTACAGCTTCGCGTACCTGGAATCGCGGACATCCTTTACTCGTTGGTTTTCTACGCCTCAAGCATTCTACGGGTCGAGTGAGGATATGCTAAAAACTGCTAAGTATAGGAGATTTTCTTTGTACCTGGCTTTAAACTGAGACGTTACGACTCCGTTTTTCTCTTCTTCTTCCGGCTCGCAAAACTGCTCGGTCCAACAGCCAATGCCAAACGCTTCATCCTGTAGAACGAAGTTTACTAGGATTTCCAGTTAAAGACTGATGGTCATACCGTATTTGTGTTTCGTCTTCATCGGCTGATACAAAAGATCCATTTACAAAAAATTGGAAACATGACGGATCAAGACATTTACCTTCGTCGTTCAAGTCGTCACTTTTCTGTCTCGGTTTCTTTTCCTTCCGCTTCCCAGCTTTTAGTTCACCCATAAGAGAGAAATCAGAACAGTCGAAAAGAAAAAAACTAAAGACACCATACCCTGGCTTTTCTTTTCCTTGTTGTTCATCTTCGTCATTTCTTCCGTCGCAGTCTCATCTGTATCCTTCGGATTCTTTGTCTTCCGCTTCCCAGCTTTTTGTTCAAGAGAAGTCAGAAGAGCTAAACAAAAGACATGCATTCCATACCCTTTTGCTCCTTGTTCACCTTCATTGCATCTTCGGTCTCATCAACGGCAAAACCAGGCTTCTTCTTTTTTTTCAACTTCTCCTTTTTCACAGGCTTCTCTGTTGATGAATTCAGACATCACTCTTGATAAGAAACTCGATTTCTTTCGAACAGATTCATACCTTCCTTCTTCGTCTTGATCCGGTTCAGTTGATCACCATCAACCGATTTCTCTGTGCCAAGTAAAAACTAACATGAAAGGAAGTACCAAAAACTCAGGCCTACTTGTCTTTTCCTTCGTCTTCTTCGGTTCGTCCGCATCAGGAGTATCGACCTCCGCGTCACTACCATCGACCCCTGGTGGAATCCAAAAGTCCATGTCTTCATTGTCAACACCCTCGTCTTCCATTTCGTGATCCACATCCGGTTGCGATGGCTTTGAATTTTGTTTCTCCTCCTGGGCAGCTGCAAAGATGAAACGCAGGAAAAACAATGCTCCAAATCCTGTGAAAACTTGCACAACTTACATAGTTGTTTGTTAAAACTCTTGCCAAGGACGTGCTTCCAGACCGCCTTCTCGTTCTTGTTGACGAGAGCACCAGTGAGCTTGCAAAGCATCTTATCCCTGCGAGCACAACACCAGCAGTCCAATGATCCAATCCACGAAACAAGCACGCATTACCTGTATTCCGGGCTCTGCTGGAAGAAATTAAGCGGTGCCCGGCCCTCCTGGAGCGCGCGATCAAACAGAGCGTCGCGGCATTTCTTGCTAGATCCATACCCCTCCTTCTCCGCCGCTGGCATCTCGTGCCCCGTCTCCACGCAGCGAAACCGCTGCCCGACGATCGCCACGAACGTCGGCTCCCCGACTATCGGGGTCTCAGGAGGAGCAGCCATCAGAAATAAAATTTAGGGCTTATGGGAAACTATGAAACCCTAAACCTTAAGCCCTTTTTTTGAATTTGAGTTAAATCTACTGCCGTAGCAGCATGAGCACTGGGAACAAAACTCCAGCGATTGGTATCCAAGTGATCCCAAGCAGGCCGGAACAGAAGCCCAGGATTGCCTTGAACTTTGAAGAATGGTAAGTGGCCTTCTTCCACAGCCCTTGTAGAAGTTCCAACAGTTGAGAATGTAGAGAAACCAAGGAGAAGTGATTGAAACTTACATGTATTGCTTGCTTGGAGCAGTGAAGAGAGGCTTGAATCTTTCCCAGAACTGGTTTCCTGGAAGACTTTCAATTTACATGAATGCAAAGACACCCCAGAGGACCGAAGTTGGGATCTTTCTGATCGCAGGAATCCCAACTAGAGATGATTGGACCAAGTTTCTGACCCTTTGCTCGTCCAGCACTGTGGGAATCATCGCGTCAATGTGTTTATCAATCTTGCAAGTGAGATCCTATTAACAAAAACAAGGATCACGAATGCAAGGCTTGGAGGCTCTAGATTCAATTGTTTTGTTTTTGTTTCTTTCTCGACTATTTCTTGGAGACGCTGGCTCAGTTCTTGAGATGATTGTTTCCAACCATCAGTTTTTCACAAAAAATTTATAATGAAATTCGCATATCATTAATTATAACACATAAATATTGAAAGAAATTTCAGGGAAACTTGTTGTTTTAGAGAAGCAAGGCTCATTTGTTCTTCTTAAATTTTTACCTGTTCCATATCTCCAAAGTCTTACTTGCTTGCTCTACTTGCCTAGAACTTAAGTTGGTTTCTTAGTTTTATGATTGCTTTGCAATTTTGAGATTTTTAGTCATAGTGCTATCCAGCTTTAAATCCAAGGTAGTAGGTGGTTTTGTCTGGATGCACCCACTTGAAGCCTAGTTTGGTACCCCAAAGTCAGTAGTCAATCCTTGTGAAATACAAATCTTTAAGCCCTAAAGTGGAGCTTAAAGTGTGTTATATGGTAGTGGCTAAAGCAGAAATTAAATGAGCATAATAAGTTTAGATTAAAAACTCTAATTCAGAAAGTTAAGAGCAGGGGTGGAACTCCTAAAAAAGTGTTCAAAGAATAAACATAAAGTGATGAGTTTTAAAAAGGGGACAAAAACATCACTAACATATAATAAGTGTTAGGACTGAGCCCAAAACGAAGTTTGAAGAGTCTAAAATGGAATCTGATAAAGAGTCAAAAATAGAGTCCGAGAAAAAAATTGAAAAAAAGTCTGAGAAAGAATCTGAAAAGGAGTTTGAGATGGAGTCTGAAATGGAGTTCAATAAAGAGTCAAAAGTGGAGTCTGAGAAAGAGTCTAAAATAAAGTTCGAAAAGGAATTTGAGATGGAGTCCAAGATAGAGTCTGAGAAGAAGTCTAAGATTGGGTCTAAGACTGAGATTGAGATCAAGACCGTGACCTAGACTAAGACCAAAATCAAAACCAAGACCAGGGCTAAAACTAAGTCCAAATATGAATTTGAGTCTAAGTTCAAACTAAAGTCTAAAGTTAAAATCCAACTCTGAGAGTGAAAGCCAAAAGTGATTGTTTCCCAAACCCTAAAGGGTTTAATAATCCTTATGAGATAGTAGAGGGGAGGACTCTAATAAAACTAATTTGGCTAGCAAAAGCTAATGTAACCAAGGAAAGCTACAAGTGATGATATAATTATTGAGTAGTCCAAAGTTAGAGTGAATATGGATGAATAAGGGGGATAACTTAATAAAGTGTTTCAAAGCTAATTTTAACTTCTTTAAAAAATTAGATGGTCAATACTCTCAATCCAAGTGTAAGGGGCATTATCTATTGTGTAAATTATCAAAACTTCACTCTAGCCACATGGTTGGGGCACTTTAGTAATGGAAAGTGGGAAGAGTACTCATAAAACTCACATTACACTATAGTGTTTTAAAATATCATCATAGAGTCCCAGACCATAGAAAGAAAGAGAATATATTTCTTATTTAGTGACCAAAAGTATAGTCATGTGGTGAAGAAGTCCCAAAGGTTAGTGGGGTTTAGTAAATAAATTTTTAGGCCTTAGACCAATGGTAGTGTTAGCAAACATTACCATGGATGGAAAAGGATTTAGTGGGGATTAAAGGAGGAATATTACAGGATGGTGTTCCTTATGTTTTAAAGTATTTTAAAAATGCTAAGGTATGATCATGAAATAACCACTCATGAATGGATGGCTCAGTCTTGGAGAGACAAGATTGTGTTATGGGTGGTTTTGGACTACCAATTAAATAAAAATAAATAGATATAACTTTAACATAATAGACTAAGATATTGGTGGTACCTTTAAATGTCAGAAGTGAGATTAAACATGTGAAGCACTTAAACTAAGTGTGAAGCTGATGTGGTCTTGAAATCACATTTGGGGGTAAATATCCCAAGGTGGATGAAGAGCTATAAGTGAGATTTTTTCAAGATATTAAATATCTAAATCTATAAAACTTTAATTACCACATGATTATAAGCAATTAAATTTTTCATTCTACTTTAGCCAATTCATTTTCATCATTAAAGAAGCAAGTAATAGCATTATAATAGTTTCAATTAGATTCTCAATAAGTGATCCATTAAATGCTAAATTAGTATTAATATATTATTTCCTTGAGAGTTTACCAATTAAATTTTGAAAAAAGGGTTGTAGAATAAGGAAAATGACATGTAAATCAAGTATTAAAAAAAATTCCTTATTACTTGACATTATAATACCATTATCATCCAATTTATATTAAGTGGTAACAAATTTATAATACACAATGCTAAGCATTTATTTTCTTCTTTCCCAACAATTTCAAGAACTTTTTAACTCTTTTTTCAAAGTCTTTTTCATCTTTGCCTTCATATTAGATCTTAAAAACAATATGATATAGATATATAAAGTGGTTTTTATGATCAATTTTGATATGATATAAATATATAAAGTGGCTTTTATGATCAGTTTTGATATGATATAGTTTTGTAAAGTGGTTCTTATGATCAATTTTTAGGTATTGATTTTATGTTTTGTGAATGTCAATGTTAGATTTAGATATATGGGCGTATAGGCAAATTATTGGGTTGTGAGAATTTAAATATATATGAATTTATAGATAAGAGAAAGTAATTAATTTATTAATTATTTTTCTTGAAAACGATTCCGTTTTCATAAACTATTGCAAATTAGTTGAAGTTAACTTCTATTAATTTGAACCTTATACAGCAAAATCACTGCCCAATCTCCATGACTGTCAGCTCCCTGACAATCAAGGTTTTAGGAGGAACGGCTATGGGAGAAACTATAAACACTAAACCTTAAACTCTAAATCTTTGTCTTTGAATTTAAGCTTCATATGTTGCAACATCCAATTCTTTAAGAGAGGAGTTAAATTTTGGAAGAATGAATTGCCGGATTGGAATTAGCAGAATGAAGAGCACTGGAAACAAAACTCCAGCGATTGGTATCCAAGTGATCCCAAAGCAGGCCGCAAGATATACGAGCTGGAACACGGTGAAGCCTATGATTGCCTTGAAAGGGACGACTTTGAGGAATGGTAAGTGGCCTTCTTCCACAGCCCTGGTAGAAGTTCTTAACAGTTAGAAAGATTGTAGAGAAACCAAGGACAAGTGATTGAAACTTACATGTATCGCTTGTTTGGAGCAGTGAAGAGAAGCTTGAATCTTTCCCAGAACTGGTTTCCTGGAAGACTTTCGATTGACATGAATGCAAAGTATCCCCAGAGGACCGAAGTTGGAATCTTTCTGATCGCGGGCATTGCAACCACGCAAATCCCGACTAGAGACGATTGGATCAAGTTGCTGACCCTTTGCTCGTCCAGCGCTGTGGGAATCATCGCGTCAATGTGTTTCTCAATTCGCTCCACCTCGCACGTGAAATCCTATTAACAAAAACAAGGATCACCAACACAAGGCTTGATTGAAACTCTTACATGAGACTCTAGATTCGGTTGTCGTGTTCTTGTTTCTTTCTCGACTAGTTCTTGGAGACGCTGGCTCAGTTCTTGAGATGATCCATTCCAACCATCCACAACCTTGACAAGTTTTTCTCGTAAAATCTACAATGAAGTTCGCATATCGTTAATAACAACACACAATATTGAAAGAAATTTCTGGGAAACCTGATGTTTTAGAGAAGCAAGGCTCGCTGTATGCATTGGAGATTGTGGAAGCACTCCATTCGAAGGTGGTATTCCTAGTAGTCCACACACCAAAACCTGTAGAAAATATACTCACGTGGATCAAATTAAACGATAAGGCAATGAAAATCAAATCATTTCTTACCATTGCTGCTAGAAGAAAAAGATCGTAGTGATACGCAGTGGGCTTTTGTAAGTTGAAGTCTTCCTGCTGAGCCATTTGCGACGCTACACTGTGGTCAAAGCAGTAAAGCAAAGCGATCATGCAAGCCGGGACGATGGCACCAAAGATAAACTCGGTTGGAACTTTGAGAAGATCCTGGGAGAAGGCATAGATCCAAATTCAAGGCAAAGGTTTTGTAAGAAAACAGGAAGAAGATATTGATCCCACCTGGAGAACCAGCCAGTTCCCTGATGCTTTGTGTGACCAAGCGTCGGGACTTGAGATGCGGCGAGGAACTCCACTTGGAACACCTCCAGATCTCGAGGGTACAAGAGAAATTGCGGTCCACAGCACGACCATGAGAGGCACACCATAGTCAGCTATAAATCCTCGCAGAAATCCTGCCGAGAAAAGCACGAATAAGAACGTTGTGCGATATGTTTGTTCTTCTTAAATTTCCACCTGTTCCATATCTCCAAAACCTTGCTCGCCTGCTCTTCATGGCCGTCCAGAGAAATCCAAACGACAGCACCAGGCCAAGTGTTCCATTTCCAAATCGCCACGAGAAATCCAAGTGTAGGCCATCCTCGTCGGGCTTTCGAAACTCTCCAATGGCTCCCTGGAAAGCAAGAGAGTTCATAAGTTAGAAGTTCTTCCTCTCCGGTAGCTGTCAAACATATAGAAACCTTGATGGCTTGCTGCATAAAGAGAAGCGCGATGAGACTTCCAAAAACTTCTCCGGCCATCCGAGTGAAACGATTGATGAGAGAGCAGGCATTGAAAATTGCTAGAACAAACAGGATCAAGGAGGTCCAAATACAAACCCTGTAAGAATAAAAAGAAGAAATTGTATACAAACAACAAAAACAACCAATTGCTCACCAGGTCATCCAAGGAAGAAAGAGTGGCAAGCCGAGACCCCTGTTCTTCTTTGCAAAGCTATACATGAAACCATACATTATAACAGTCGGCTCGGCAACTCCAAGAACGAGCAAAGGCTGGCCTCCAGCCAGAGATTGCAAAATTCCACACAGGGCAGTGGAAGCTAAAGAATGCGCAGTCGTCAAAGCACCATCTGGAACAAAGAAAAAGAGCGCAAGAAAATAAGAAAAAGGAAGAACTCCTCAAAAGGCTGGAAAAGAGATTGGCCAAATTTTCAAACGCAAACCTGTGTCACTTTGGAGCTGCTCGCCAAAAGCTATGACAGGAAGAGCCGAGGCGAAGAAAATGTACGTGGTTGGAGCCAAGATCCTGCGCCAAACAAGATCGAAATCACGCAGAATTCTTCCAATAGCAGCTCGAACCTCAGGAAATCGGATCCGGCCTTGAGACCATCTCTCCAATCTCGCCCATAAACGTCCAATCTGCCATGGAAATCCCGAGAGATGCCTCGAAAGGGATGAAACGCCGCCATCGTCACGAGTCCTCTAGCTCTCTCGGGGAGAAATCACGCGCACGAGATCACGAGGCTGATAGTCTCGAGTTAATCGAGTCAAATCAGAAACAAAGTCCTCTTGGCCAGCACCACGCCACGCCCTCGCATGCAACAACGGGGATTTTACAGTGAAGCCCAGCGCACTCTGCTGGACAGCATTATAGGGATCTTTCTTTTCTCATCTTTCGTCTTTACGTTGCCATCGCCCCCCGGAACATGCGGGGGTGCGAATCAAGAAAGTCTACGCGGGCCTCGCTTTTCGGGGGCTCGATTTGATACTGGAAGATGCCCTAATTTGATACAGATTAAGTTTTACCACCTTTACAACTCCAAAAATCCGCCTTGATCGGATCCCAAGCACATCTGTTTCTTTCTTGAACAATCAAACACTTCTTTAATATTAACCTAAATCAAATTAAAGTAATGCTTTTTAATTTGACACATGTAAGTCATTGTTCATGGGCCTAGCTTATCACTTGTTAGAAATATGCATTACCTTACATTTTACCTTAAAGTCAGATTTTTTTAATTTTTTTTTTTATCATCCGCAGTAATTTACATAATTGATTTGTTACACCTCGACTTGTCTCGTGCCAGCGAAGAATTTCACCTCCGTCTTTGGTTGCGCTGAAAACATGAGGAACTCGAGGATCTTGATGACTGCCCGGAAACAAAACCAGTATTGCTCCTGCGAAAAACTTAATCTTAAGAAACGAGCAAACTTTAAATCTCTAAGCAAATCTAAAACAAATAGCTCTCTCTAAGTAACAGGAATAAAAGTAGATGAGAGACTTACATCCGTCTCCACCAATCCACGCCGCTGCTGTCGAAGCCGAGCCACTGTGTGTGAGATGTTTACCACGCTAAGATCACCGCTGAGAATGCTTCTCAGTACGTGATCGAGTGTGACAAATGTTCCAGCGCGGCCAATCCCAGCCCTGTGAAGCAAACCCCAAGGTCTTAGACAAACTAGTCGAGAAAACAAGAACAAACCTGCAGTGGATGAAGTAGGAGCAGCCCGGCGGGAGCTTGTAGAGAGCAGCGAACATTTCCTGGATCGGTTCTATTCTTTTGGGAACACCAAAGTCGGACCACGAGTACTGCCAGTGCTCGAGCGTGAAGCTTTGATCATCGCACTCCACTTGGAGAAGCCGCCTCGTAACGTCGTTAATGCTGCGCGAGGAGCTCCGGTTGATGATCTTGATCCTACCATAGACTTGTGATTCTCCCGGCCTCAGTGGAAAGTATTCGCCAGCCAAGTCCTGCCACAGATCGTGTAAGTCTATAGAGTCTAGAACAAGAACTTCTCGATCTCGAGAGAAAAGAAACTATAATCTTTGCTCTCGATCGAAAACTATTCACTGACCCACCTCCGTGAGCTTGACGATCGCGCGACAGTTGCATTGCACTACCATCTCCCAGAAATGGAGAGGTGAATCCGGCTGCCCGCCGCAAATGGCATTGGAAGTGATGAAATTCGCGTTGATGAAAGAGGGGGAGCTGCCTTGCAGCACAACTCTGGTGGCGCTGCGGCAGTGAGGGTGATCTGCCGCGGAGGAATGGAGAAGTTCTTGCGCCTGGAGAGTGACGAGCTCCTCTGAGAAAGAAAAAAAGGATTGATCGATCGATCGATCCATAAAATCAAGGGAAAACTTACGATATTCGCTCTTCGCCTGGTGGGAGGACTTGTTCTTGAGAAGAAGAGACGCTTGGCGGCACCATTCTCGCTGCTCTGGCCTCAACTCTAGCTCCATCGCCATTCTAGGGCAAACGCTTTCACCACGCAGTTTTATGCTTGCCTGCCACGTGGAGTGACCTTTCCACGCAAGCATCACATAAGCTTCTCTAGGGCTCTTGTGTGTTTTTGTGTTTCTTGTGCTTCTTTGGTCTGGCTATGGCGGACGCGGAGCTCCAGCGCCTAGGGCGTGGCGATTTCGGCATTGTCTACGATGGCGGCGCCGGTGTCGCGCTCAAGCTCCTTCACGGCGATGGCGTCAAGCCGGGCGCCAAGCGCATTCCCTACGAGGAGCTCAAGGAGGAGGCCGAGACGGCGCAGCGGCTCCACCAGGCAGTGTTCGACATGGATCTCAAGGCCGTCGGCGTCCCGATGCCCTACGCGGTGCTTCGCAGCGGCAAGGATCTTGTCCTCTACAGCCTGGTTGGCGGCGCCAAGGAACGCGATTGGCTTCGCAGCCACACGGAGCAGCGGCCCTTCTGCGACGGCATCATCGCCATGGAAAGGATCTTCGGGCCGGAGCGTTGCGAGCTGGAGGCGCTCAAGGCGCGCTACTACCCGGACGATCCGCGCTGGGCGGAGCTCCTCCAGTCGAATCGGGTGTGGAAGCTCCAGCTCGGCCTCTTCGTTCTTCCGCCGCCGGATATCTTCTTCAAGGCGCCGTGTGTTCTAGCACGAGAGGCGAGCGAGTGCCTGGGCCTGGACGTCCCGGCGGTGGCCAGGGACATGGGCAGGCTGGTCGGAGCCGCGCGGCGCATGGATCTCAGCTGCAACGATGTCCAGTACGTGGTCGGGCGACGCTGGGGATCGCCGCGGCTCCAGGTGTTCGTGCTCGACTTTGGATTCGCGAGGGATGGCCGGACCAATCCTTTCCACGACGATTACTACCCCAAGACGGAGGATGTGTGGGCCGAATTCATCCAGGGGTTCCGGTGCGAGTGCGATGACGAGAAAGCTTTGCCGGTCATGGGCGTCGCTCACACGACTCCGCTCCCTCCTCCGCCCAAGATCTCGCAGTTTCCACCGCGAAATGGGGGCAATCTCGCTACTCCACAGCGCTATGTGGTGGTACCTCCACCATCGCCCAATACCCAGGAATTCTAGGATGGATGACCGTAGATCGAGATCTAGATAGCTCGGAAGATCGATGGCTCATGTGTAAAGCATTTCTTCTAGCTCAGTTTTGATACTCGCGGGAACTTGTGAATTCGAAAAACAGAATATACTCACTTTGATGCTTCGTTAACCTCTAGACGTTATCCATGTAGATGTTAGACATTAAGATATGAGCGCCGCCATCGCTCGCCCTGGAATCCATCTCCGCGGTTCTCGCCCCGCGAGCAACATCTCTGTGAACGCTGCAAGCACTGAGAAGAGCTCTCCACACAACCGAGTCTGGCGATCCCGGCATTGCCTCGATGATCTCCTCCGCCTGGCTCAGCAATCCCGCTCGCCCCAGCATGTCCGCGACACAGCTCCAGTGCTCGGGCGCCGGATCCACGCCATATTCCGCCCTCATCGCGCCCAGGCACTGGCAGCCCATCTCCAGCTGCCCACCGTGGCTGAAGCCATTGAGCACGCTCAAGAACGCGACGCTGTCTGGGATCACGCCATCGAGCAGCATCGCGAAGAAGAGATCCGGCGCGCGATCGCCGTGCCCGTTCTGCCCGATTCCGGAGAGCAGCGCGTTCCAGGAGAGGAGGTTGCGAGCGGGCATAGCATCGAAAATCTCCTTCGCGTCGGCAAGATGCCCGTTCTGGGCATTTGCTGCGACGGCAGCGTTCCAAGAGACTAGATCCCATAGCGGCATCTTGGAGAGGATCGAAGCGGCAATCTGGGGGCTGTTATTCTGAGCGTGCGATGCGATGAGCGTGTTCCAGGCGACGACATCCTTCCCGGGGATTCGATCGAAGAGTGACTTTGCGCGATCGAGATGCCCAAACCGGGCATATGCTGAGAAGATCGCGGTCTCCGCGACGATGTCTTGCACCGGCATGGATTCCGCCATCGCGATCGCTTGATCCAAGTCTCCAGCCTCGGCGCTGGCCTGGATGATCGCCGTGCACGACGGTAGATCCCTCCGGGGCATCCGCGAGAAGAGCGCCCGCGCGAGCTCGAGCTGGGATCTCTCCACGCAGCACTGGATCATGCTGTTCCACGACACCTCGTCGCGCTCAGGCATGGATTCGAAGAGCTGCTTCGTCGCCGCGAGCTGCCGTGCGTGTGATCGCGCCTGGATCATGCCCGATTGCTCGCCACCCAGCGCGTGGCAGTGGAACATCACGTTCCAGGAGACTAGGGTTCTTCGCGGCATTCGATCGAAGGCCTCCTGCGCGGCGCTGGGATCGCCGCACTGCGCGTGCATCAGGATCATCTCCGTCCAGGACACCACGTTGCGATCGGGCATGGCGTCGAAGAGATCCTTGGCGGCGGTGGATTGCCCTGACTGGCCGTAGGCGTGGAGGATCCCGTTGAGCGAGATGAGATCGCGCTGCGGCATTCGATCGAAGAACTCCTTGGATTCTCGAGCGAATCTGGCCTGGCCAAAGCCAGTGATCATCGCGTTCCAGATCACTAGCTCCCGCTCGGGCGAGGAATCAAACATGACCTTGGCGAGGGAGAACTCGCCGCCACCGGCGTAGAGCGCCACCACCGACGTCCACGCCACGGCGTTGTGGCACGGCATCCGCAAGAACACCGCGATCGCGTCGCCGCAGCGCCGGGATCGCACGAACGCCTGGAAGATCGTCGTCCAGGTGACGATATTTCGCGTCGCCGATCGATCGAACAGGTTCTTGGCCTCGTCCAGATCCCCGGCCTGGGCATACCCCGCGATGATGATGTTCCAGGAGAAGACGTTGCGCGGCGCCGCCATGGAATCGAATGCCGATCGCGCCTCCTCGATGCTGGAGCACTTGTGGTACATGTGGACGAGGAGATTGGCGAGGAGCGTGCTCCTGCCGTGGCGATCGATGATCTGCGAGTGCAAATCCCTGCCGCGGGAGAGATCGCGCTCGGCCGCGCAGGCCTCGAGCTCCCTGGCGATGGCGCTGGCCTCGTCGGCGAGCTCATCCTTGAGAAGCGATGGAGAGAAGAAGCCACGGCGTGATCTAGATCTAGAGGCGCGCTGCCACATTCATTTGGAGGGGATTTGGGGCTTTTCCCCTTTATAATATTTGGGAAGAACCCTAGGTAGCTTTGAGCTATGGCGTCTTCGTCCGTGAGGGCGCTACGGCGGGGAGCAAGCGCCTGTCAAGCGCAGGCGCTGGATTTCCTCGTCCGAGGCCTTCCAGCATCGCGTGGAGTGCTCGATCCCTACTTAGATCAGCGCGGTGAGTGATACTCTCCCTTTGTTTTCCATCTAGTCGCGGAATGTAGATTCTAGGAACTAGTTCCAAGTCTTAAAGCTGGAGCTTGTTCTAAGACTAGTGTTTCGCTTGTAGAATCCAGTCCAGGAGTGCGCCACGCTTTCAACCTGGCGACGAGGGGAGGAACTCCGCTGGTTGTCAAGACCGCCGGGGGTCTCTCGGCAGCTACGTAAGTTCTATCGATCATCCAGCAAAGTCTTTACGGTTTCGCTCGCAGGGGATTCATCGTGACCATCTTTGGATCGACTGGAATGCTGGGACGGGCAGTGGTGAACAACCTCGGTATGCTACTGGCGTTTCTTTCTATCATTCGGTCTAGATGGTTTTTTACTCTGTCTCTAGCAAAGATTGGAGCACAGTGTATGATACCATACAGGGGGCTGGAGGATAAGCCTCGACATCTAAAAGTGATGGGTGATCTCGGTCAGGTAATCTCGTTTGCTCTCAAGCTTTTGCATTTCGAGTTTATGCCTTTAACTTGAAGGTCAGATCGTGCCGTTTGTGTGTAATATCCGGGATGAAGATGCCATACGCGCTGCCATTGCGAAATCCAACGTTGTCATCAACTTGATTGGTCAGTGCTTCCTTTTACATTCGATATCTAGAACTTGACAGGAAGTTATTTATTCGCTATATCGACAGGAAGAGAATACGAAACTCGTAACTACGGTTTCGAGGAGGTCAACATTGATATTGCACAACGTATTGCTCGGGTATTTCACAGTGCTGTTTCTTCGTGTCTTGAATGAGTTGTCAAGAGAGCTTGCTTTCACAGATATCGAAAGAGCACGGTGGGATCGTGCGATATATCCATACGTCGTGCGTCGGTGCGGACGAGAACTCTCCTTCCAAACAGCATAGAACAAAGGCCCTGGGAGAAGAAGCAGTCAGACAGGAATTTCCTGAGGTTTGCCAAACTGTTTCCTTTTCAGGGTTTTAGAGTTTGTCTGTTGTAAACCTTCAGGCTACTATTATGCGACCCGCGAGTATGTTCGGCTACCACGACAAGTTCCTTAACAGATTTGCCACGAAGGCAAAGTTCTGGCCCAATGTTCCAATGTTTTTCGATGGCAAAACAAGGTAACCAAACGTCGTGCGCCGAAGCTTGCTCTAAAACTTTTGTCGCAGGGTTCAACCGGTTTGTGTCCTTGACGTCGCAGCTGCTTTTCTAGCCGCAGTGAAAGAAAAAGAAGGTATTCACGTCGGGAAAGTCTATGAACTCGGGGGACCGGATGTTTACACGATTCACGAGCTCGTAAGTTCGACCTCCTCCTATTCTACAATCACCAGCTCTAAAAAAACTGCAATCCTTTCCAGCTTCTGTGGATGTTTGAAGTTCTTCGCGAGAAACCGCGGATAATCAACATTCCATTGCCGCTAGCCGAGGTACAGAGACGAAGCATCGTCTTCTTCTTCTTCTTTGTAACTCGTGGTTTCTCCATCCAGGCCGTGTCCCGCGTCCGAGAGTTCTTCTTCAAGAGAGTACCCGTGCCACTCCCACAGCTATGGCCGTGCTACCGTCACTACATCGATTCTCTCAAAGTGGATCAAGTCGTCTCTCCCGACGGTAACGCTAGAACGAGTGAATCTCACTCCGAGGAACTAAGTTTTTTTCCTTTTTTGATTGTTCTGTGCTAGCTCTAACGTTCGAAGAGCTGGGGATCAAACCCAGACCTCTTGGAGGCCTGGCGACCGAGTACCTCTTCTACTACAGAGAGGGTGGTCCACACATGGGACAATTCCGTTTGTGAAAAATCACCAGCAAAAGGTAAATTTTGTCCCGGAAAAAACATTTTTTTTGTAAAATAAAAAACTTTGTCATGAACATCTGATTTTACTATCATTTTTGCCGACTGTTCCAAAATTTACAGAGGAAGCATCCTTGTAGTTTTTCTTTTGCCAGGAGAGTGTGTGAAGAACAGGAGTAGAAATAAAATGCCCAGACCTCCAAAAGCTCCAGAGATTCTCACATACCCACAGCACAGAGCTACAACACACAACACAAGAAATTTACAGCACAAGAAGAGGAAAACTTTGAGTGGTAGCTTCCCAGGGCTGTTAATAGTTGGAGATTTTATCACTCAATCAAAATGGGGAGCCTCACCTGGAAGAAATGTTAGATGTGGAAGAGAAAAATGAGATGGATGCCCAGCGATTGGCAGATTGGAGCTGATAATCTCGCAGCTGCTCCTTCAGATCCTTCCGCATTTTCCCTTTCCCCTTGGCAAGACACACAGGAGCCCTAAATTTGCTAATAGCAATTTATTCTTTAAGATAATCATATACACGGACGTTTAGTCTCTTCTCTTGCTCCCTCTTCGAAGCTGTTCTTCCAGGCCTTGGAATTTCGCTGGGAACGCTTGCGACGAATCAAACTGCAGCGATGGATGTGGTTCCTGCTGCTGCTGCTGCTGCTGGAGCTTTGGAGAAACAAAGAGCTCGGGATTTGGTGACGAAGACGACGAAACTAATGGTGAGGCGAGAAAGCTGCTGGGAAATCTCAGTGCTGTAGAGGGCACGCTTCCGGGCTTCTCTGTTGGACTTATCGCTGCTGGAGAGGCTATCTTCAAAGAATGGAATTGATCCAGAGCTGGCTTTGCGTTTGATCCTGTTGAGTTTCCCTGAGCGCTGGCGGTAGTGACGAACGGGAGCAAGCTCGAGTTGTGGAGAAACTCCTGTTGCTGCAAGTAAGTCTGCTGGACCGTGATTAGCGACGTCTGCTGGTGATTGTGCTGCTGCTGCTGCTGCTGCTGCTGCTGGTACTGCACGGCTGGCCCGACCGGAGTTTGAAATAGTTCCAGTCTGTGCTGGTGATGCTGCTGTTGCTGCTCGTGATGGTGATGATGATGATGCCGATGATCAGTGTGAGCCAAACTTGAGCACGGATCTTCGTACAGACTATAGCTGCCCGGATGCAGAAAGTTCTTCCAGTCTCGCTGCTGCTGCTGCAACTGGCAACTTGTGGCCGGCATGGCGGTGTGTGCAGAGATATGACCAGAATTGAAAGGAGCTATACTCGCATGAGCTCCAACTTCCCGGCCTGTTCTTGTTGAGCTACCTTCTCCAACTGACATGGTTATGTCTGCTCCAAGGTCCTCACCAGGTCTCTGTCTCGGAAATGCGTCGCTCTCGTCAACCGCTTGATGGTCGCGGGCGGAGCTCGAGCACACCTTGAGCTCGGGGCTCTGGTTCTCCAGCTCCTGATCGCTAACAAGGCTCGCCTGCTGTATAACTCCCTTAAGTTGCATGTCCGAGCCTGAGCTAAACGATGCTCCTCCTCTCTCTAACGAGAAGTGGCCACCACCACTTTCGTTAGAAGCCGAGAGTGCCCCCGACCCGGAGTATCCGAACCCGAGAGCGGTGTTGTAAGACGAGCTCGGAAGCGTGAGCCTGTCGATTCCGGGGAGTGGTATCTGCGACAGCTCGTCGATGGCATTCTTGGCCTTTTTCATCAACCATTCCACGGCCTTGCTTGGTTGGTCGTAGCCGAGCCTGTCCTGGACGTCGTAAAACTGGATGGCTGTGGAAACGGACAGCCGAACTCTCCGGTCCCTCGGCCCTTTGGCCGTGAAGACCTTGCTGTGCCGATCCTTACCTCCCGAGGGCCTCAAAGTCCGAGCAGATATGTTCATGTGGAGCTCGGTTTGATCGTCGCGCCGCCCCAGAAGATTTGACAGGACTGAAGCTTCGGGCCTGCTACGAACTCTTCTTTCGTCCAGCCCGGCCTCTGGAACACCGCCCCCAAGTCGTTTATACTTGTCCGGGTAGTCAGAAGAAAGCGACTCACTGTTCCATTGGCCCATCCTTCTATACTCGCTGCTCATCGTAGAAACCGGTCCGAGCATGTGTCCATAGTCTGGAAAACTTTTACTGCTGTCATGTTCTTGTTGTTGCTGCTGCTGCTGCTGCTGCTGCTGCTGCTTGAGGCGGATTCCATCCACTTCTGGAACATCTGCGTAGCAATAATCACCTGGAACTCCACCTTCTTCCTTGAGAATCTCAGAGCGGATTCCCACTAGCGTATTATTGCTGTTGCTGCTTCGACCACGCTCTTCATCATCCACGAAATTTGGGCCACTGGTACCGTTGCGGGGTCGCTTGTGGCCTTCCATACTTCTCAGCTCCACAAATGTGATCAGTGATATCATTCTGCTACAGCATATCAGCGAGCGTTGACAAGTTCTTCCGGGACCTGCTGCCTTGTTGAGAAATTACTGCTGCCCAGCGGAGTTTCCTCTCACCACTTCACTTCCTGTGCCCCACGGAAGTAAGTTCATCCCTGACAGATCTGTTTCCCCTCCCTTTACCCGAGAAAATCATCCTCGGACTCCGTAAGTCCAACTCCAACAGCATAGCAGTAGGCCTTGGACTGATAATCTGCAAAAGAGAAAGAGACCAACAATCTCAGTCATAGAGGAGCTTCCAAAACCTTCTGAATTGTACGCCTAGCTAGGAAGACTGTTTGAAAACGCAAGACACCATTAAAGATTCCCATGCTTGCATCTACAAGAAAACGAACTATACTAGCTAGCATTCATTTCAGCTCCGACTTGAGAATCTCTTGTACAGAAACTCGAATTACTCTAGAGTGGAGACTACAGATCTGGAAAAGCCTTATAGTTCAGCGAGAGACAGCAAAAGAAAGACTAGAGCAGCGAGAAAGAGAGAAAAGAAGAAGCAGAAAGAATGCATTTGCAGCGACCTTATCCACAAGTGTTCTTCAGCAACCAAAAATTGTTACCTTATCACTCCCTGGCTTACGTCTTGCTTCACAACTAAAACCACCTGCACACACCACACACCGAAGCGAATTAGCCATTTAGTTCTCGCCAAGGAAAGAAACAGAAGAAAGAACACGAAGAAAGAACACGAACACAGGAAGCACGAAGGCGAGAAACGCAGACAGTGAATTGCAAAGACTCCTGGAGCACAAAGGAAAGCAAGAAGAAGAAGGAACAGACACAGAAACGAGTAGAGAATGAGAGGGAGAAAGAGAAAAATCCGGAAGAGGGAGTATCCAAGAAACCAAGTTCGGTCCAAAATCTATATACTTACAATGATATCACAATAGCCTCCAGATCGCGCGCAGCGCAAGTTTCGCCGTTTGCCCGCACACCAGGCTACAGCTACCAGGAGAGGAGGGGACCCCTTCTCTCCGTTGCAATTGGTCGTTTGCTCCTCACAACTCACACTCAACCGGACGGACGGACGTGCCTGTGCCTGCGCAAGCTGAACAACTGTTAATGCTGTTAGTGCTGTCAAGGACGCTGGACGAGCTTCTGGACTTCAGTTCAGAGCGGCGCTAGCATCATCATCATCACAAATCTGAGAAGGCATGCAACCAGGAACAGCAGCAGCAGTGCCAAGCACGGGAAAAAAAGAAAAAAAAAGGAGAAAAAAGACTTATCGAGAAGAGAAAATCACTGGAAACGAGGAATTTGGAGGAGGAAATTCACGGACATATATGAGACTCGAATATAAATGGGAGCTGCAGCAACAAGACACATCTAGCCACTTGCAGAGGCCAGTTGCAGCATTATTCCAGCCGCAGACAGTGTCATCACTAAGACTAGTTCGACGATAGTGCTGCTGGGCAAGGTCTGCACACTACTGCACTCACTCGCCAAAGAACAAGGCCAGTGAAAGCGAACGCTGGAAGCCTATTTTGCAAGGGAAAAATGAAAGAAAAAAACACCAACAAAGCAAAAGAGGCAAAAAGGTAAATGCGTGAGTGAGAAGAACTTGACATTCGACTCTTAAGCTTGACAATAATGGGAAGAACTAACAAAAGCAAGAGCGAGAAAAACGTAAATGGATGATCACTTAAAACGAAAACATCAGCTTAAGCACAGAAATCCATCGACTTCGATCGAAACCACGAAGAAACGCAAAAAAGACAGCATTGTCGATAAATCGCAAGTTCAGTAGAAACTTAGCGAAAGATCCACCTCTGGAAGAAATCAGAGGAAGGAAAAGCATACAGTGAAGAATAAAGCGCAAGGACTTTGCACGAATTTCCAGGCACGAGGCCATGCAAAACACCCATCGCTAAGCGCGGATTTCCGCGCTAACAGCAAGAGAACAAAAGAGAAAATGCAGTGCGCTATCGGATGAAACCGACTCCAAAGACTAAAAAGAACCAAAAAATTCCAGCCTACCTCCTCGCAGAGCCCCACGCCGACCATTCCGCTTTCTTGCGGCAGCAACAGCAGCTCCATTGTTGCAATCGCGCGTCGCTGTCGAGCTCCAAGATTGAAGAACCCTAAAAAGCAGCCTTAGGGCTTACGGAGAGAATTTTGGCGCCACGTTTGAAAACTCTGAACCAGTCAACGTCGCTGACGTGGCGCACTAGAAAGAAAAAATCTCGCAATCTCTGCCTCCCTGAGGAAGGTATATTATGTCCTTTCGAGATTCCCTTCTCCACATTGAGAAGAGGCTCCAAGTTCCAATGAAGGTCCATGCGTGTGTCCGTATGACCTATTTTTCCGCGCTATTTTGACCCACATTAGAAGGAACGCGTAGAAAGATTTCTCGTGGAGCGATCTAAGCCTTAATTTGCTGTATAGAGTGGAGCAAATCTTGATCGATCGATCCATCACTACTTTTGTTTTGGGTGGCGGTTCATCATTGGGGAAATTATTCATCACGGAACTCCTAGCTCGAGCTTATCCTCAGTTGATTGGATCATGTACTTCGTGAGCACCGACCTGGAGCTCCAGCGTCCACTTCTTTTGATCAAGTCAAGCCTTGAAAGTATGTTCACGAAAAAGCTAAAGAATCTTCTACTAGTAATTGTAATCCATCTAAAAGATAAAAATAATAGTT